TCCAGTGTCTCCATCACGTCATCCAACTCGAACACGCAGGGACGAAATCAATATGCCCCATCCGCGGTCTCTCGTGGAATGACGGAAAACACATATATCTCTGCGGGTTCTTCACTAAGATCTGCTTTGCCCGGGCAGGATCATCGGTACAGGCGAGACAGGGAGTCTTTGTCGACCACGAGCTCCGTCTCTATGGGCAGCTCAAACTATCGTTCGAGAAGGCCATCGAGGTTGCGCCATGAGGTGCCGCGCAGTCCCGATGACGCGAAAGTTGTCGACCTGTTTAAGTTTACCAAAAGCCGTCTGCAAGATATGCCCTACAAGACGCCACAAATAAACGATGGTGTCCGACTTACAAACGATGATCTGCGGCGTCAGATGCTAAGCACAATATTCGGATGGAACAAGGAGATCGAAGACCTGATTCGGGATGAGATGTCTCGGCATCCTCTGGGGTCTACGAATCGGATTTTGCTTGCGAAATGGTTGGGAGACATCACAACGGATATCATGGCTATGGGATCAGAGAACATGACATCGTCTGATTGGATGCTTTTGGCTCTCAGTGGCATTGGAGGACAAGCATCACAGCACAAACTTGGGCGAGCCTACGTGCAGCGGTTGTTAGAAAGCGGTGATGTTCATGCGGCGGCAACAATCATGATCGGATTGGGCGACCACAACGACGCGATTGAGATCTACGTCTCTCACAAAAAGTACATGGAGGCCCTGATCTTGACTTGCCTCTTTTTCCCATCGACGTGGGAGCGTCAAGTCCAGATCGTGAGGAAGTGGGGAGAATGGGCTGTACAACATGGCCAACAGCAGCTTGCCATCCGATGTTTCGCCTGCACCGGCCATGAATCCACAGAACCATGGACGTCTCCTTCAGCCCAGCAGATTACCTTCGGAAGCATCTCAGCGACGGTTAACGAGGTCACCAGTCCTCCACTCTCACCCCCTGCCAGGAACCATGGCCCCCAGCGGAGTGTTGCGAAGAACTCGGCCCTCAAGCTTATTACCACCTTCGGAGATAACAAGTCCAAATTCTTCTCTGGGCACGATGATGGTAGAACTCCTATTGCGGCAGGAGCCACCCCAATTGTTCAGTCAGCCCTTTCACCTGGCGGAGCTGACCCTACAACCGCCGTGTTACGGAACAACCGAAGTCAATTCAATACACCCTCCTCTGCGCGCCCGCCAAATGGCGGGTTTGGTCGACATCGCCTTCCGTCCATCGGAGAGGCGACCCAGGATAATCGGGAGCTTTTGACCGCAATCAGCAAGCCCGTCGGTGATCCTTATGCGAATATAATGTCTTTTGAGGTTTCCGATCACAGAACGCCGGGGTACGACTTGCCCAGAGCACAAACTGCCAGCCCTCGTGTCTTTAAGGACGCCAAGGCACCGCCGCCTCCTTCTCCCTCGCCAGCCGCCGTAGCGGCGCTGATGGAAGGCAGACAAAGAAGGAATGGGTCTCGCAGCCGCATCCCAGAAGGCCTCGACCTATCTCTTCCTGTGCACAACGACACGCGCCATGATGAACCGAGCTCCCCTGAACAGTCAGGAAATTCTATCTCCAACGCACAGTATCACTGGCCATCTAGGCGCAAGGGGTCAGGTTCAGTGGCCAGCTCTGCGACATCTGCATCTGCAACATCTAGTGTTAGAGGCTACAGGAGTCATGTTCCAGGCAAGAGTATGGACAAGTATTACCATAGTCTTGAGGCTGCTGGAAGTAATAGAAACGCCAGAGGAACCAGCAGAGATGGTCATGGCAACGGCCGCGATAGCAGCCGCTCACGAAGGAACGATGGGGACTTGTCCAGAGACCGCGGCAGAGGTTCTTCCAGGGGTTACACGCCCAAGGGTGGGAAGAGATCTCCAAAGTCTCCAGTTCCCATGTCTCCCGAAGACTTGATCAACCTTGCTACTCCCCGGGAAGACCTTGAGCAACTTGGGCATGGTAAAGGGCGTCTTATTGACTTCTCAGACGAGCAAGACCAGCCCAGCGTGGCGAAGAAGGTCAATACCCGCCGTGAAACATCCAGGGTGCGAATGGCAAGCCGTGGTGCCAGTAGGAATGGCCGCAGCTCAAGCCGCGCGCGCAGTTCCGAGAGACGCAAGCCCCCAGCACTCGACCTTCGCGGCCGTGAAGCCAGCCGCGAAGGCTCCAGGCAGAGATCGCCATCCTCCCCAGTGCCCATGTCAGGTCAGGCTGCGCACTTTTATGGCTCGGAGGATGAGGAGGATTACAGAAGGGCGTTGGAAGACCGCGAGAAATTCCGGCAGAGGCACAACCGGAGTGTAAGCAAAAATGGCAGGGGAGAAAGCATCACATCGCCGGTCTCCGGTCGTGGTCATGACTGGGGTGGTCGGGAGAGGTCTACAAGTCGCCAGAGGTCGGACAAGAGGTCGGAGAGCCACCAAACAGATCGCAGACAGCGTATTCCTGTCCCGATGCCCACGCCTGCGCCGATGCAGCTTGTTACGGACAGTTCAGGCGACTTGAAAGTCATGATGAACGAAAGACAGCTGAAGAAAGAGCAGGCACAGCGTGAGCTTGAAGAACGTCGGAGGTCGCTCGCACGAAGACCGTCCGCGCCCCCGATCCTACATCCTGATGAGCTTACTCCTGCCCGGCTGGACACCGTCATGGAGCTGCCAAGCACCGTCTTTGTCCCTCCTAGGAGAGAGGATATGCCAGCGCGCAGTGCAAGCGTTGATCCTAGCTCTCAGGGCGCTGGAAGGAGCATGTATGCCAATCGTGGGCCATCGATTGGCCTTCCTGCCACTCCGAAAGCTATGCGCTTAGTTCTAGGTTCGGACGCCAGCAGGAACAATGTGCCCGTTCCCGCTATCCCCGCGAACTTTCAACAGACCTCGGCCGCAAGCTCTAACCAGGCCTCGCCGGATAAAGTGTCACAGAGGCAGGTTGAACTCAAGCAACAAGAGGTCGAACCGCCGATGAAGAGTCCTGCAATGTTGCTTCCATCGACCGTCTACACTCCGCCTACATCGGCATTCAACCGACCGTTCATTCAGAGGTCCATGTCTGCTCCTCCTCAAGACCTTGTGCCGCCTCAAGCAGGCGCCTTAAGTAACCTGAGGGGCTTCCACGCTCAACAGCCCAGTGTAGGTGGAGAGCCGAAGCCCATGATGGGTCGCAGGCCATCTCATGATGCTGGCCGAAACGACGGCCCCATCCCTCCCCCTCCCCCTCCGCCCCCGGCGCCGCCCATGCTCAGAGAACTTCAGCATCTCGCTGCTCCTCCACCACCACCGCCTGCCCCGCTTCCTCATCTGGCCGGTGCTAAGCCAGTGGTTTACGGAGGAAGCTCGGGGATGATTGAGATCGTCATGGATGACGACCAACCACAACAACCACCTCAGCAACCGCAGCAACAGCCCCCTCCTCCGCCTATGCTGCTACCATCCACTTCATACACACCCGTCAACACGGCCCCTATCCCCAAGGAAATCGTGGTGCCCATCCTCTCTCCTCCGGCACCCTCCTCGCGAAACGGCCACGCCCGTGGCCGCAGCAGTATCGACCACAGCATCGGCGGTCGCATCTCGCGCGTGACTGAGCGCATGCGCTCGGCTAGCAGGAGCAGAGGAGCAATGAGGGACAACCAGGCTGCTCCGATGATTCCTGCTCCGTATGAAAGCGTGCCCATGCCCGGCATGTCGCAAAGCATGAACTTCCATATGCGTGCTGCTGCTGCTGCTGCTCAGCAGCAACCGGGCCAGAGCGACTTTAAGACGGGGTTGCATCATAGTGAGATGATCTAAGATGGATGAATAATGTGGCATAGCATTTCAGTTTCTTTACTTTCTTTTTAGCTCTTTTCACTTGAACTTTTTTTTTTTTTGTTTCTTTTCGATTCTGATTCTTAAACCTTATGAGTCTGCATGGCGATCGGCGTTAACTTAAATGGTCTCACCATAACACCTTTTTGCTGCGGTTCGTTAACTGTTTTTGAGAATGGAAATATAGGGGGTGATTATGTGTGTTTGGTGGGAAAAGATATGCCTCGATGGCCTTTATTTTAAGTTTTTATCAGCACACGTCTTAAAATGTAGGCAGCTTTTGTTTTGGTACTCTTCTTCTCGTACCGTTTGTGTATGTACAACAACCGAACTGATGCTGAATACACGAAGACAAGCAGGTGGTTAGGACAAAGGATGGGGATGGGTGGAAGGAAGGATAGGTGTTAGAAAAAAACGATATCTCTAGCAAATGCTCACGCTCTCATATTGGGTCGCTCGTCTCTGGTGTGCCCATGTTTGCCGTGGACACATCTCTTCATCTGCCCCCGTCTTGCCGATTTCATCAGCCTCATCAATGTCACCAAACGATCTCGTCAAACAAATACGCAACAATGCGGTGATTTACTACACGGCCTCGTACGTCATACTCTTTGAGTGACCGACTTATTTTTGTTAAAGCAACGCGGTCAGTTTGTATGAGTATATATACAACCTCTTGTCCCAATGCTAAACTCCAGACAGAAACTGCAGATGCCACCAAAATACAAAAGCACAAATAAAAGTTCACTGCTCGCTTTGCCCGCTTGATGGTTGCTAATCCATTAAAATGCACAGGTCCAACACATACATCCACCTTTTCGTTCGTATTACCGCGTTACTGTGTCTCTCTCTTTTCTCGTTTACGAATATGACAACCATAACCGAAAGAAGGGGCAAGACCCAAGAGAACCAAATGAAAAGACAACCGTAACGCCAAGATACCGATCCAGCTCGGTACTTTAGTACTTCAAAGACACCAAGACTGCTTCCAAGCTTTCTAGTCTTGCCTCTTTGGACATCCTACTCGGGACGTTTGTGATTACTGTACTCCTTGTACTCTTCATCGAGGATGCTGATGATGTTGATGACGATGGTATCGATAACAGCGATGGACGCGAAGGTGCGAGGGTGAGCAGTGGTGAAACTGACGTGCCACTGCCGCTACGACTAATTGGAAGGCGAGACTTCTAGTCTTCCGCTTCCTTGGGCCATAGTCTGTTTGCGTTCATGAGATGGTTAGTAGATGCCTAAACGAGTATTGAAAGTCATATATACTCTCGATAGCCAGAATAGCCGTTGAAGGATGGGTTCTGAGGTTCAGCGTGAAGTAGGGGAGAAGAACAAGGAGGGGGGGAGGGAGAGGAGAGAGAATATGCCAAACAGAAAAAGGACGAAGAAAAAAGAAAAAGAAAAAGAAACTCACAGCTCCCTCCTCCAAATACATTCCAGCATCCGCCAAAACACCACAATCCACACCACTATAATACACCCCGTCAAGACACATCCCAAGATCTTCAACCCATCGCTCTCAAATGCCTTTCCCAACTGCTCCGTCGCCGTCACCAGCGCCGTGTTCGGAAACACAAACGAGAACCAGGTCATTTGGAACTGCAGCTTGCTTTTTCTCTCCGGTCTCAAATACTTCCACAGCGAACCGACGCTCACCAAGAAGAACCAACAACTCAAGCCCCAGAGCCAGATCCCCGCCATGTAAGCCAGCATGCGCAGGATGGAAATGGCCACAGCGCCCTGCGTACCCAGAAACTCGGTAGGAAAAAAATCGGGGGCGGAGTTGGCGAGCTGCACCAGCCCCGCGGCGGTGAAGGCGCCGGGTCCGATAGAAATAAAAACACCGGGTCGTTGGTAGTCGCGCGGTAACTTCTGGGTCATCAGGCGGTAAAGAAAGGCGGCGCAGATCATGAAGGAGATCAGAAAGCCGGTACCCTGGACGGCGACAGAGGCGAGGGCAATGGAGATTGGATTGATGGTAGACTGGCCCGCCCGAGTCAAGTGGCCAGATTTAACGGCGGCGGCGATCAGGTTGGCGCCGTAGGGGGCCGTCAGGAGGAGCGGGTACGCGGGAAATACCCAGACGGGCGTCATGGTGTGGATGGGGAAGACGGTGGTGGACCAGAGAAGAAGATAAAGAAAGGCACTGATGCTGAAACTCAGACCGACGTAGATCCAGAATATTATTTCCATGGCTTTGAGCAGCCAAGGACCCGTATTGGGGATGCCATATTGGCAGATGGTGATGAAGATCGTTCCGGCACTGCAAGGGAACGGGGTTGGTTAGATGGATGACAACGGGCAGATAGAGGAGTGAGTGGAAAGGACCGAGATGGTGTACGTACGAGACAATCTTAATCAGAAGCGTTAGTCCTGAGTACTATGAAGGAGCTGAGGGATCTTGCAGAGAGGAGGTAAAGTAGACTCACAATTGAAGACACGAAGAGTGACTCGGTTTGGTCATTAAGCGAATGCAGGAAGCTGCCTGTGCTCCAGACAAACCGAAGTGTGATACAGATACAGTTTACCGTAAAAAGAACGAGATTAAGAAAGAAGAAAAAGAGGCCAACGCCGGTCAACCATTGACTCTTGTATGGTACTGTGATGTTTGGTCCGAGTCAGAACATTGCAACTCTTTTCCACGTGGAAGGTGAAGTCAAGAGAATGGAATGAACCTACTGGAATGAAGAACATTGGCAACACCCCCGGTGGCCATAGTCATGGTGAACCATGTCCACTGATAACAAGTGATGCGATCCCTGAGGCTCACTTTGCGCTTCGACAAGTTACGCCCTTTGGTGAGTATGTCATCCATGCTCGCCTTCATGGGGCTGTTGTTGCCACCACCTTTTTGACGGCGGGATGCCGATGAGGTCGCCCAGAAAGGTTCGGAGGTGGCTCCGGGCCGGTGGTGGGTTGGGTCCGGCGTTATATAACCATCTTCAAGTTCGGACGGGGATTCATAACCGCAGTAGCTGTGAACCGGAGGAGCCAGTGTTGGTCTGGAAAAATACGATACATCTCGTCGAGGTTGTTGTGGTTCTGGGGCCGAGATGCTCCGGGGTGGAGGGGCCGGAGGCTCGGAGCCGGAAACGACCGGAGACGGGGATGTGGTAGTAGTGGTAGTGCTATCGGCGGTGGTGGTGGCTACACGAGCAGTACCGCTGCTGCTCCGCCAGGCTTGAAGCATGCCGACAACAGGCGGTAGATCAGGTAGAGCGGTTCGACGTAGTTAGGCGCGCCAATGAGATCCAGCTGCCTGCTGTTGTTGGAGATATTGACCAGGGAGACGACGAAGACGATCAGGTCAAATATGGTCTCTGCTACCGGCGGTCGTACGGACATATTCTTCGAGATCGGGAACGTGCCAGGGACGGAGGCACGCACAAACAAGGGGGTGGAGGGTATTATATGGCGTAGTGTAGAAAGGTTGGGTGATCGGCCTGGGAACCAAACAACCCCCCTGCAATATCAAGGGACCTGATTTTTTTATTTTTTTTTCTTCCCAACAAAGGCTGCTTTCGGCTCTCTGGAACTCTGGGTAACCGTCCAGTCCGCTGCCTATCTATCTTCCACCACTTGACTACCTGGGACAGCACGGGAGGCCCGGCTGGATTGTCTTGCTGCACCAGTAACACCGGGGCACTCGCCTGACGCTCTTCTCGAAACAATCTCGTCGAGTGCCAGACTAGAAGGTCTAATTTCCTGTCGTGGGTGATACTGCCCCCTTTGCTAGGGCAGAGAAGGGTTCCAGAGGTGATGCGGTGTGTATATGTTGAACGGGTACGGGTGTGAGTGGTCCAAGGGGAAGTTCCCCTCCTTCGACGAGAAGAGAAACAGAGATCGGCATCCTCTATCCGTCTCTACGAAGACAGTGTACTATGCAAGGTCCCCATGTCTAGCCCTGCTGCGCCTGTTAGTGTAGTAGAGCTTTTAGTGCTAAAGAAGCAGTTACCAGTTGGTCGGTCGCCCTTGCCATCTTATTAACAAAACCCCTCCCCTATGATACTTTTCATCTCTCCCATGTATGTATGATACGAGAAAGGTTCCTTGGTTTTCTTCGTGTCTAGAACTTCTTCGCTTCCATCACATGAACTTCTTCCCTTAGAAAAGAGGCTTGGGAAAAAATCGGCATAACCCGAGCAGCTTAACAGCCTTCATTCTCAGCCCCATACTTGCACGTTAACAAGCGGCCAAGAACGCTACCACTAACAGCACTCCCCTCAGCGAAGCCTAGCCCCATGGCCAAGCCCTCCAGAACCCAACTTCCACGCTTTCGAGGGCAACATGACGACGGCTTTCACAAACAACGTCATAAGTACTCGCTTGCGGCACCCCACCACAGAGAGCTAATGGGTAATGGTGGTTCCAGAATACTTCTTTTCCAGAATTCCAACTTGGTATTGCGGCACCGAACCGAACACCAATGAGCAACCACCGATGTCTTGTTTTCGGAGAGAAAACACAAACCACAAGAGACACACATGACTCTTGGTATGATGTACACTAGAACAGGCAGAGACCCTTGGTTTCACTTCACCTTTGTTATGCTCACTTGGCCCACGTAACGAACAGCATTGCTGCATTCCCGCCGTCAACCAGTTCCTGTCTTGGATCGCTTGACTCGTTCGCGGCTTGGGATCGGCACGGATATCGGTGCCGAAGGAGGGCATCCCGTGCCAGCCGTGAAAGATTTTGTGACGAACAAATATTCTAAGAAGAGACAGACAGCATACACTCGTTGCGCAGTTTTCCCTTCCTACCTGCTCAACATCGGCATAAAGTAGGCAAGTCTTTGTTTTTATTTGTGGTGGTTTGTTTTCTACTTTTTTTTCCGTTTTCTATTTTTTTTTGTGCCATCACCTTCACGAGCTAATAAAATACACAAGACGTCAAACCGTGTCGTGCAACGTTGAAACTGTCAACGGACGTGCCGTAATCACAAGAGAGAAGCAGGAAGGGTTACACGATCTTTCCTTTGGTGCTACCCCTGGGTAGATCTTGTATTACTTGCATGACATAATGCAAGCATTCTCATCTAGCTGACACTGTTTAAGGGTTTCGAGGTAGGCTGAAAGTGTCCGCTTGTCAACTCTTAACTTCGAAGGCTGTTATTCAAACTTCAAGTTCTCGCTTGATTAGCATCTCTCCTTGGATTGCCATCCAATGTTCGCTAGGAAATCAGGCCTCACTGTAGGTTCAAGCTGGTTGCTTGTACTATCATCGGCCGTGAGACTCACCTGAGAGAAACGTCCTCTCGTGCCTCCGCCGATGGAGAAGTTGGCGATGGCCAAAGAGATTACAGAACAAGTCTAACATGGTACGACTGCTTTACGAACCATTGAAAGGCGTACGCGAAACTCACCCGGTCCAAAGGCTCGTGAGAGGGTCGCCGTCAAAAGCGGATACCCGAGAATCTCAAAAATAATGCCAGAGGTAGTGCTCGCATGAGGCAAGGTGCGCATGCATGGTTGTACCAAGTAGTAGATGGTATACCACTTCGTTCTCCTTCTCCCCAGACACACATAGAAGGACGAGGCATGGCCGAGTTTCCGTGTTTTTGTGCTTTTCGTTGCAACCAAAGTCTAAAAAGCAGTCAAGACAGCATACCAACCATCCACTACGTCGTTCCGTCATCTCCAAAAGAGCTCATTTTGTCTACCCCAAGCCCGCTTCTTCCTATCCTACCCCTTCTTGGAAAGGAATCCCATGAGTTCCGTAAAACGCCTCTCGAAATTCCATCTGCCTCATCATCTCAGAGAGAGCTCACTCTGTATAGCCTCTAGATGTGATGGATATATGTGTATTCTTTTTTGTGTACCCCTGTCCAAGTGCAGCCCCAAAAAACTAAAAGAACGAGAACGCCGGATATAATAATCGAGAAAATGCTGATCATGTCTGTTCAAGGTTATATATGCAGTTTTACTCGTAGTTGAAGAGCACGCTGATCGATTCACCGTGGTGGACGCGCCGCATCGCCTCGGCAAAGATGGGAGAGATGTCCAAGACGTCGAGCTTGGATCCAAGCTGCTTCTTGTGCTCGTCCTGGGGAACAGAGTTGGTAACGACCAGCTTGTCAATCGCCGAGGCCTTGACGCGGCTGATAGCGTCGCCGCTGAAGACACCGTGAGTCAACAGGGCGTAAATTGTGGTGGCGCCCTCCTTCTTAAGGAGCTTGGCGGCTCTGGTGATAGTGTTGCCGGTGTCGGCAATGTCGTCGAGCAGAATGCAGACGCGGTCAGTAACGTTGCCCACGAGCATCATACTGGCATTCTGGCGATCGGTAATCTTGGTAGGGCGGCGCTCCTGTGATTCTTGGTTAAGTGGTGATCCTGGGGGGGGATCTGTAGGAGGGCATTTACCTTGTGAATAAGGGCAAACTCCATACCCAAGCTATCCGCAATGGCAGTCGCGCGCTTGGCACCACCAGCATCGGGGCTGATAATGACGGCATCCCTCCAGTTAGGAATGTGCTGCTGGATGTAGCGTTTAAGAAGCGGTTGTCCGTAGAGGTTATCGACAGGAATATCGAAGAATCCTTGGACTATACAGGGAACAAGTTAATCTACCAGCCGTGGCCAGCGTCATGGGACGAAAGGACAAAGAATGCGCAACTACTCGCGCAAGTGTGAATGTGTGTTTTCCACATCAACCGAGACACGTACCTTGAGGGTCGTGGAGATCCATGGTAATGACTGTACGGACGTGAGTTAGCAGCTATTTCCTGTGCACAAGCAATCCCTCATGTCGCGCGTCTCTCGCAACTGGTTGGAGGCCCCAGTATTGTTCGGGCCACAGGCCATTTGTTGGAATGACGTACCATGATCGCAGCCGGCGCAGGTCAAAAGGTTGGCCACAAGGGTACCCGCCTGCGCAACCCACTGCTTGTAACCGGGCTTGGCCTGGAAACCGTTGACGATGGAGAGATTCTCGTAGTCATGGGTAGTATACTGCTCCTTAGAGCTACCATTCGTCAGGGCGTTCTTGATCATTTGGTTGGCGATGTCGGAGCTGTTGGTAAGGCCAGAAGTCTTGGGCACGCCGGGACCGGGGGTGGGCGGGACACTGTCGAAAGTGTACTGATTCTTTCCATTCTCGCCGTTGGGGGTGGGCGCCTTGTACAAAGGAGCGCCGGCCTTGTTGTAGGGCAAGTCGGGTTGCCTCGAGTAGGGGAACAAGGGAAGGACAGCGGTGACTCTGCGAGCAGAACCAGTCTTGCAGGCAGAGATCATGATGCAGAGGTCCATGAAATGGTCATTGAGCCTGCTGCCATTGCCACCGAAGCCAGTCTGGATAATGTAGACATCCTTTCCGCGCACGGAATCCTGAATTTCGCAACGACTTTCGCCAGAGGAGAACTTGGTCAGGATCCTGCTGCAGGCGGGCAGGCCGAGAATACCGCAGATGCTCTCCACCAATTCGGGGTGGGAGTTACCGCCGAGGACGACAATGTTACGGACCATCTTGCAGTCTTGATCTTGCGACCCGTCAGGATCGCACGTGCAAAGAGACGAAGGCGGAGGAGGGATCGAGACGAAGGAGGTGGCGGCTGAGAGGACGGCGGCGGCGGCGTCGGTGGTGGTCGCTGGAAGGCCGGAGGGGACAAGCCCGGAAAGAAATGAAAGCAGGGCCACGATAGCGTTGGGTAATGCGAGGCTCTTAAGCGCCACTAGCCGTAAGGCAATGGGCAAGCTGACTCCTCAGAGTGCCAGGTCGTGCTGGGCTTCGAAGGATCGTGCTCGGTTTTTTCCTCCCGGGTCTGGGAAGAAGAATTTGCGCCGGTATATTTTTTTTCAAGACCGATTTCAGAGCCGAGCGATAGGCGAATAAGAATCCGTTCCGAGTCAATGGGCGATGGTCTAACTGGGTCAGACTTTAGCAGCACAAGTTGCGACGAGGCAGAGGATGCGAGGACCCAAACTTTTGTATAGAGTCTAGAGAAGAAATAAAAGAGGAGATAGTGGGAGAGCAAAGCGAGGGAGGAAGAGGCGATCATCACTGCGAGATGATTCCGAGTAATGTGGGAGTTTGAGAAACCAGTTGATTAACAAGGGTCTGCTTGGGGCGAGGTCGGTCGTCAAAGCAGCGACATAGGTAGTAAGTGCATGTACTTGGTGTCGGTTAGTGCCAAACAGGCTCACCTGGTTGGCGTTGGCGTGTGCGGTGGTGGCAGCAGTGGAATGAAGGCCTGGGCCAGGTTGTCAAGCACGGAAGTCACAAGGAAGAGTGTCCCTCACCTCCGCTGGCACCACTGTCGCGGAGGGATCGCGGTCAAAAACCAGACACACAACAACGACGAGAACGAAACCTTCAATTGACATGGCGGGTTTTCTGGATTAGGTGTGATGTTGATCATGGATGTACATTTGCTCCCCATACTTGCTTGAAGTTCATAATCCCATCTTCGTCCTCTCTGCCTCGCTGATTTCCTCACTTTTAGACTAGGCTGCGAACAGAGAAGTGAAGACGTGCCTCGTTGTCAAACACTCATGACTGTTTCAGGACTTTGCCCAAATGGCTCTCTCTCTCTCTCTCTCTCTCTGTGTGTGTGTTTGGGACTCCGTCACCGCACCGAACCCGTGCCGCGTGCGAGATTTTTTTTTCCCGGGCATGTGCAATTGGAGGAATCTGGCTGCAGCGACGGCTCGACGCTCCAGGTGGGGCAAAGTGCAAACTGCGTTGTGAATGATTGGACAGGAACGCTCAATGTCCTGAGAATGCGGCTGCTGCGGTCCGTTCGCAACTTCTTGACTTCGTTACAATGGCGGGGCACGAGTGGACGGGAGTCCAATGTGGCAGGAACTGCAAGTGCAACCGCTTGTAAAATGGAACATCTCACTGGCCACTGACCATTCACCGTGACGGACGGACCATCTCAAAGGCCTTCTCCTCCACCAACCTTTGTTTTTATCATCACATTACCAGATCGCCAAGTCTAGAACACTGCTCCAAGAACACCACTTGTGTCATATTTGACACCAAACAAACGAGTATTCAAACACGCTTACGCTTTCCCGAAAGCAGTCGCATTCGCATTCGCCTAGGCTACAGGTGGTCACCAGCAAGCAGTCGGCGCAAGACTTCGCTTCTCACTCTCAGGCAACAAGCCAACCCAAGTCGACACAATGAAGATCCTTGAAGGCCAAAGCAACCTGGTCTCAAACCATGAGGTCTATGAGCATATTCTGGAGCAACAGCAAAAGAACAGGTCCAAGAACAGGAGAGTGCCTCCCAACCAATTTACTCTCACTAAGGATGTAAGCAAGCCTTCCATCATGACGAATGTGAACATGCCCAAACTAACCTAGAGCAGCTCTTGACCTATCTCCGAACCAAGCCTGGCCCATTGGCAAACCAGGACAAGACCCATCAGTACAGCACGGAAGCGTTGTATGAGCTCTTTAAGAAGCTTCGTGAGGCTAACCTCCAGAGCGATCTCTCGAAAGGCGAGATGCTCATGATCATCAACCTTCGGCCCACCAATGTTGCAGTTCTTAGCACGGTCGTTGAAGACATGTTGGAGCGCTTTACTGAGGACGAGCAGCAAAAGATCATCGATATCATCACCGAGACTCTCGGCTTTGACGAACCCACAGAGGCCGCGGAAGGAGAAGAGAACGACGAGGACGCAGCACCCTCCATTGAAAACTCTTGAACACGTGGACATGACGACAGCTTTGGACAACTCACATGATTGTGCATCCTCCTTCGCTTTGCCCGCCCTCGGAAGTCGTCGTTTTCAGCGCCGTTGTACATATATCGTCGAACACCTCTTCCAGCAGCTCGCCAGTCACTGCAGAGCATTCCATGTACTTGTCTAACCTCATCTCTTGCGCCATGCGATACGCCTCCTGCGGGTAGATGGTACCGTTGGGATCAATCTCAGATCGCAGATCCCTCTTGAGGCCCAGCATAAGCACCGGGGTGCTGTCGCCGGTTACGCCCGCTGTCCGGACCTCTTTGTTCCACTGCGCAATATATCAGTTTGTTGAAAGATGCGGTTTACCCTGGATGGAACCGGCGCTTACCACTCTTTGGAGGTTGATCAAACTGAGCCTCTGGCTAATATCATAGCAGAGGATGACTAAGTCGGGCCGAAGAAGTCTCCAGCTTTCTGGACTGGAAGTGTCGTAGAATTCGAGCCGATAGTCCCCACGGCGAGTGCGAATATCAAAGATGAAAGGCTGGTCGAGGTCCCTGAGAGGGGTAATGGAATCTCTGCCTTTCAGGTTGTGACGGCCTCTGCTGATTCGCCTGGGTGGGTGTTAGTGAATTGGCTTGTCTTGTCTTCTGTTGGATTAGTGGGCACATGTAGGAATAGATGCAGTGTATAGTTGTATCATTCAGGATTATCACTAACGATAGCAAGGTTGACTTTCCGCATCTCTCATCGCCAACGAACAGTATCGTGATTGTTTGTGAATCCATGACAAAACAAAATACAGGCTCGTGAAAAAGGGGGGTGACAGAAACGAAAAAAAAAAAAAAGAATTAAAGCAAATATTCGAAAGAAGTGACTTTACTCGACAGTTACCGGCGAGATGCGGTTAACACAGTCGTTCTTTTCGAGTGATCTTGTTAGCTCACAGGTGGGAGACCCAGGAGAGCGGACTGTTATCAACAAAACAGGAGCCCTGTTGCCTGCCGACAGGATGGGACGGGAGACACCAGAAAAGTCTCTGCCAAGACATATGTCCCCACAATATTTTTTTGGAGAAACTCCATGCGGGCACCCCCCCCCCCCCCCCCCCCCCCCAAAAGACCCCGTCGATAGGTAAAACGAATCCAAGTCTCGTGCAAGTGAGACTCTCATTGCCTAACACGCGACTCGCCCGTTTTACCATCTCATGAATCGAGGACCAACCCGTTATTCAAAAATCACCTTCCGGGTTTGCGCGAATTCGCTCACGAAGCTGGTATGTCTAAACCCGATAGAGTTTGCAAAACGGCTTCTAACACCAACCAACCAGAAAATAGCCTGGTTTGAGAAAGGGGAGACACTCATAAAGTTGAGGCCGAGTGCATGAACAGTCCGGGGTCCATACGGACACTCAGTCACCTTAAAGCATCTGGCAAAGCCATCGGTGTTGGTGGAACATTTTCCAAGTCGAGCATTGGAGATTTCACATCCAAGCTCAAGAGGATCAAGTTCCAACTACGGACGTTCGCAAAGGGGCCAACCGTTCTTTCACAGGAGCCGAGCAAGATGGTGCACAAGCCGGCAAACTACGACCGATGGCCGAAGGAGAGCCTGGTCAAGCGGGTGATGGAGCTAGAGGAGGAGCTGAAAAGAAGGGAGCAGGCACCGGAGATCCAAAGACAGGAGAGGGCGGAGGAAAGGGCCCTTGCCGCCGCGGTAACTTCGACAGAAGCCGATTTGAAGGCGGCCGAGAAGAAGAAAAAGAAGGCGGCCAAGTTCGACCCGGGGAAGTACTCGACCCGCTTGATCGCGCTCAAGTTCGCCTACCTCGGCAAGAACTACAATGGCTTTGAGTATCAGTCGTCGGCCAAGATGCCGAGCATCGAGGAGGAGCTGTGGAAGGCGCTCGTCAAGAGCTGCCTCATTTTCCCCGAAAGGCCAGATGAGGTTGATTTTGGTCCCTGGGAGTACTCCAAGTGTGGACGCACTGATAGGGGCGTCAGCGCTTTCGGTCAGGTTATTGGTATTCGAGTGAGGAGTAACAAGCCGCTGCCGAAGGAGGAGCCAGAACAAACTGGAAATGAAGAGGACGACGTGGTGATGGCCGAGGCCGCTCAGCAGCAAGCAAAGGATTCGGAAAAGGCCGCCGCCGAGGTAGACCACCAAAAGCCCAAATGGGACCCCATCGCCGACGAAATCCCCTACTGCAGAGTGCTCAACCGGCTGCTGCCCCCGGACATCAGGATCATGGCCTGGGCGCCCGATCTCCCGCCCAATTTCTCCGCCCGGTTCTCCTGCCGCGAGCGGCAATACCGGTACTTCTTCACGCAGCCGGCCTTCGCGCCGATGCCCTCCACCCTGGAGCCTCCTCTGGCTTCATCGGGTCAGAAGAGCGGCGGCAAGCAAGGCTGGCTCGACATCGACATGATGCGCAAGGCCGCCAAGATGTTCGAGGGCGTGCACGACTTCCGCAATTTCTGCAAGATTGACCCGGGCAAGCAGATCACCAACTTCAGCCGGCGCATCTTCGAGTCCGACATTGTTGAGGTCAAGGACCTCGAATCCGATCTGCCGTACCTGGGCCTGCCGGAATTCCAGCCTCCCGCCGGCAGCGACGGGTCACATCCCAAGGTGTACTACTTTCACGTGCGTGGCTCTGCCTTCCTATGGCATCAGATCCGCCACATGGTGGCCGTCCTCTTTCTCGTAGGCCAGGGCCTCGAGCCGCCGTCGATCGTCCAGCAGCTCCTCGATGTGGAGAAGAACCCGCGCAAGCCGAATTACGTGATGGCGGATGAGGTTCCCCTGGTTCTGTGGGACTGCATTTTCCCCAAGCTGTCCGACGAGGAAGCCAACGCTGTTGTTCCTGGCAGCAGCGGCGACGGCAAGGACTCGCACGACCCGGAGGCCGAGGGCGATGTTGAAATGGTCGACTCCATCGACTGGGTCTGGATGGGCGAGGACGACCCGATGAGCCTGTACGGTGCGCAGGGTCTTGTGACGGAGCTCTGGGGTACCTGGCGCGAGAGGAAGATGGACGAAATCTTGGCGAACCGGCTGCTGAACTTTGTCGCGAACAAGCCGGATATCGATCGGAAACTGATCAAGGGCGCTTCTTCTGCGCCGCCCAAGGGGATCAAGAAGGTCTACGAGGGAGGAAACAAGGCCCAGTTCAGAGGCACGTATACGCCACTGTTCAAAAGGCAGTTGTTGGCTTCGGCGGAGGAGGTCAATGATAAGTATGCGCAAGGCTTTGGCTTCAAGAACGCGGAGGAGATGACGAAGACCAAGAACTGGAGGAGCGCGATTAGGGAGAGGAAGGATAAGAACAAGAAGGGCGGACGTTCAAAGGCAGGGGGTGCGGAAACGCCTGTTCAGGAGTCTTCTAGCTGAGCGGCATTGGGTTCATGATAACAAAAATTTAATCAAAATTCAATATCATTCGGCAGCTACAGCACAAGTGCGAGGAAACCGCGAGCACGTCAAGGTTGGCGTCCAAAGACTGAAATGACATACCTATGTCCAATGGGATGTTCCTGGTGCTGCCCTGAATATAGGCTGCTGAAGCGCGCCAGGAAGTGGACGTTATTAAGCAACGATCGCGTTTCAAGCTTGACGGAGCTTATTATCTTTGCCTAGTCTAGATCACCAGTTCATCGGGCTAGTCTCAACAATTCAAGCCTAGGCAAATCGGAACCTAGGCCACGCAAGGACATACCCATTTGGTACAGACCGAGCTGGAAGCCGTGGTACGTGGCAGGCAACGAAGGAAGAGTCAATGGTGTCAGCCTATATTATGTTCTCCTGTACTTGTTCGACGTCTTCGTTGGCCACTTGAAGGAAAAGAAACCCCCTTCGACACGACTTTTAAAAAGGTTCAAGATATTGGGGACAGAGCGTTCTCATACACGTACGTAGGGGGAACAGCAGCATCTGTACCGCTCTTGGCATTACGGTGGTGCTGAAATTTGGTTGAGAAATGGATCTGGAGTATTCGAAGTTTGATAAAAAGGAATAGAAGCCCAGAGATATGTCCGCATGATAGCTGATATCACTAGGTGTTTAAACACTAATAAAACCAAGTAAACAAAAACGCCCGCTCCGCTCTCAACAACTTGAGACAGATTTCCTACAAGTTGCCCCCATGTCTAAAAGCGACTATCCACTCTTCCCATTCCCACTCCCACCTCTCCACGCTCCATTCCCCCCATGACTCCCCCCACCACCACCAGCTCCCGCGCTCAGCACCGGTCCATCCTTCTCATACAAACACCCCCTCGCGCCCCTCCACACCCTCTCGACAATCTTCCGTCTCGGCAACAGCCTCGGAAAGCAAACCACGACATCCTGCTCGCCCTCCACCACAATCACCAGGTAATACCTGACCTCAAACCCTTTGAACGCCTCGTTGATCAGGATATCCTGTATCTTTTCGGTCGGTATGAACCGCGTCCTCTTCATAAAGGTGCCTCCCCCCAAGCGGAAGAAATTACCTCCGCCGACGCTGCTGGACATTTGAATCCCCAACCCTCGTAGGACTAGGAGGGACTCGGTGGTGTGGATACGCGCGAACAGGGCTATGTACGAGGTGAGTGCCGAGAGAGCGAGGACGGCATAGGGCGGGAGGGAGATGGCGAGGGGGGCAAGGTACTGGCCGGGGCGAGAAATGTAGAGGAGGTGGAGGATGTGGAGGAGGAAATTGTTGAGGTCGAAGTCGAGGAAGGAGATGCGGCCGGAGGGGAAGATGGGTGGAGGAAGTAACCCTGTCGGGGAGAAGAAGGCCGCGTAGATGCCGATTATGACGGAGAGAACGGCGATGAAGCGTAGGCAGAGGACGCCGAATAAGGCGGCTCGTAGGGGGAGGGTGAGAGGAGGACAGGTGGTTAGGGTGAATTCGGCCGTGGTGGGCGAGGGACGCCGGATGGTGAGGTAGGGTGTTGTTGTCAGCATTTTCGGTTTTCGGTCGGATTCATTAGGGTTAAATTATTCGTGTTTCTTTCTTTTTTTTTTAAACGGTCCGGCTCGTGTCGTTGCGATTCCCGTAATGACTGAGCGAACAGCAGCTCAAGCTGACAGCTCTGGACTCTGGTGGTCGTAACCCCTTACGGTCTGTTTTCCGTGCAAGTCGGAATGGTAAGCTACGTACACTCGGGAGCGCAATTGGGAGAGAGGAGAGTGGTTCTGAACGCACTTTGATCGTCACCTGTGCATCTTGTGTATGCGCAGCTATCTTGACCGTCTTCGGTCAATAGACTCCGCGTTCTCGGATTCTCCTATACCGTGACTTGGAGAGCCTGATCAAATTCCGTGACTTGGAGAGCCTGATCAAATTCCGTGACGGAGTTCGTTCTCAAGAACAAAGTGCACCAGTCGCGACCACCCAGGGACGGGGCAATGTGCACATCGTCTTCCCCAAGTTCTTATCTTATCACCTCCATCTTGGCACACAGCACAGGCCACTGCCCCTCTGTAGCGCCTACAGGCGAGCTGGATCAGGGTATATGTATCAGATCAAACTGCCAAATGTTCGACTGTAATGGTCAAGGTGGGTTTGAAGGCACTTGATTTTCTCAATGTCTCTATTCCATGTCCAAATCTGGAAGCCCAGCGGCGCCCAGCACGAACCTTGCGGTGGTCACCCACTCGCACGGGTAGCCTGCGACTTGCTGCGCGTGGCCCTAAGCAATGAAGATGACACTTGAGAGAGGTTCCACTCTGCAGAGACATCTTCACCGTCAGGTGGCGCGCTGGATTACGATCGCTGGGGGTTTGGGATAGAGCGTTGAGATGGAGATGTCGACTCCTATTTTTTTTTCCATTTTTTTAAATCTACAAGTTGGTAGGAATAGGCCGAAGAAATGCTGGGCAAGTCAGATTTGATCTTTTTGTTTTTTGTGCTTCCTGGTCATGATGGGAAAAACGAAATGAATGTGCACCCTCAGCTGGAGTTGAACACCTGTTGACGGTGGAGACGTGCATCTCGATGCACGTTTTTGGTGTTGTTGGTTTGTGCTGGGCATCCAAGGCAGCCAGCAAGTATATCGCAAGAGCGTATAGCCCGCATGACCTTTCCTATCCCACATTGCTGTTCAGCTTTGCACACCAGCCGCTGGCAGTTACCTCCGAACATCCGGCTGGCTCGCTTCTGTCGTGGTCAAGGAGAGTACGTGCTTGCATCCTTGATGACATTTTCGGTGGTCTTTTTGGTGCACTTGCGCCAAGATCTGAAATGTGAGTTCGTGAGAAGTTGGTCGGGCTAGATGATTGTGCATCAAGGAGCCGAGATATTTGAATGAGTGATTTCCGTCTCGAAAGACAAAGCGAAGGTTTGGTGGTTTTTGGCTGCATACAGTGAGTGACTTGGATTGAACTATAGGCGTGGTATGATAGGGACGAAGGGAAACAATTTGTCAAGAAAACCGGTGGGTGGCAAGAAGATTATGAGAGAGTGTTAATTATAACCGCATCGTCATTTGTGTTTGACCGTTTGATAAGGTCGCCTACCGGACGGGTAGAGTAGATTGCAATTTCTAAAATGTGTGTGACATATCGAAGAAAAAAAGAATGTAAGTATGGTCATGTTTAACTGGTGCTTCATGTTCAAGTCCTCATCCTCCATTAAACTTCCCTCAGCTCTGTACTGTACCATGGTCGTGTTCGACATATTGGCTCCAATCCTGGAATTGGAATTCAACACTGTCATTTCTTGGCCTCGAAGGAGATCTTCCACCAACACAATCTCTTCTGATTTGTGGATGCTGGTGCTTCTGGAATCCACCCTCTTCTTGGTGCGCTTTAGGATGGCTTTGGTCTTGGTACAGTTGTGGGTAGTATAGGTTGAGGTTGCCAGAAGAATGTAATGACCATGACACTATGCTATGCATTGACATATCGCGTTTCCCCAACCCCATTGATTTCCCTGCTATCCATCCATCCTTCCGTCCACCCACCCACCCACCCATCCTTCCATCCTGCCGACCTGTTTCCCTTCACGCCTTTGGTATTACATAACCCTGCTGGGATTCTGGCTCATCCACAACGCCTTGCTCTTCCTTCCTTCCTTCCTCCGTCCACGATCCGAATTAAGATTTGTTTACGAGCCAAGCGAATTTCTTCCTGGTAGTTGACTCGCCACCCGTTGACGGCTCTACTTGTACACTGCGCTGGTAGATATCCTATGGGAGAGAAGAAAACCGGTTAGCATTTGTCTGCCCCAGTAATAAGCCAATAACAGTAGTTTTATCGTTCTGAAAGGAATGGATATTCAAAGAAACAGGATAGACAGATTCGGCAGACAAAGGAAACGTAGAGGTAACTGTCAGGGGCAAAAAGGGAGACAAACGCGGTTATGAAGCAAAAGGGGACAATTTGAGCGGTAAGAAGGGGAAATTTTGTAGAAGAAGTAGAGGAAAAAAAAAAGAAAAAAAAAAAGACTAACCTCTTCGTCCGTCGGCATCTTCATATCAAGTATCAACTCCCTACTAGGCTCGTGCTTGGTCAAGTTCGGATACGGCTGTCCCTGACTTCTCATTATGGGCAGCAACACCTCCCCGAGCACCTCATATTTCTTCCAATTAATCCGATCATTATTCGGCCCCACGAATGTCCTGCTTCCTTCCTCTGCCGAGACAAGATCACGTCTGTGCAGGGGGATGAACGGAATCCTCGGTAGCGGCGTGTTCTCCCAGGCCAGCCGGTAAGCAAAGTGGCTCTTTTGCGTGCCCATGAGCAGGACCAGCCGAGCGAACCGCTTCTGTACGTCGGCCGAAACCAAATTTCGCGTCTGCGCGAGTCGGTGGATGGCGGTGCCGTTGATACCGGCCAATACGGCGGCCAGGCCGTTGTAGTTGTTCAGCGTGCGCAAGCGCTGGGCGATGACCATGAACCGTTCTAGGCAGGGTGCGCGATGTTTGGCTTTGTCACGGATGAGGATCATGTTGGACACCCATTGGGCTATGTGGTTGAAGTGGGAGACCATGCGATTGACGTTCTTGAGACTGCGGCATTTCTCCTTCTGGTCGGCGGGCAGACTAACGTGGCGCACCATGTCGCGGATGCGGATGGAGCTGAACATAATCCAATCAATGCGCGTAATCTCGTCGGCGATTATGTCGGGATCGATGTCCATGAAGCTGTGATAACGGATCTTGTTCGGCGGTAAGACGGGAGAGGGTACCAAGGCCGCGGCTTCGCGCTCGTAGTCTTCGATGGAATGGTAGGTGAATTTCGCAGTCGGATCAGCACCCGAGAGCTCTGAACTGTGTGATGGACGTCGAGGATCATACCCGCCCGACTCGTCAATCTGCACTGAAGCCACAGACTCGGCGAGTTTCCGCTCTACGTCCCTGCCAGCCTCCTCGTCATCTTCGTCGTCGACCGGGTCCGCTTTTGCCCACCAGGTATCATCGTCGTCCATCACCTTTTGCTCCAGGTTCCCCTTCATCTGCCGGGCTGCTGCGGAAAAGACTTCGCTCGTTGCCAAGTCGCTTATTAGTCCTTCCAATCTCCTCCTCGTTGCTGTTCGGGCAAAGTCTCCGGGGTAAAGGGACAGCCATTTCGCAACAACCTCAATGACGCGCATCTGGCTTTCGATGCTCAGCAAAGACGGCATGTCCGTGTCGTCCCTTAAACGGTCCAGCCGCGAAAGGAGCGCGCTCATAAGCTCGCATGGCGTAGCGAACTTTCTATACAAGCACAGAAAAATGTCGGCAAAGTTGTTGTCCGCCCTTGTCATCTTTGGAGCTATAATCCTGTCGATAAGCTCATCGAAGGTGACGCCGGCAAGTTTAGGGACCTCGTCTTCCAGATAATCCTGATTGCGAGCCATTGTGGCTACATCGTCCGACAAGCGGTGGCTTTCCAGATCCAACTCTTCAAAATCCAAGAAGGTCTCCGACCCTTTCTCCAATCGTATCCCTGGTGTACGTAGCGTGCCTGACAATGCGTGTGGAAGACCGTCCTCAGGGATGTCTGATGATTGCGGGTTGGAAGCGCCGTATTGTGCATGTAGATATTCCATTCTCGGCGACCTCGAAAGTTGGGATCTCTGGTGAGGACCGTCGCCGCTAGGAGGCGCAAAGCCCTTCAAGAGCGAGAAGTCCGAGCTTGCTCTACTGTGTTTGCTGTGCTGGCTGATGGGACGACCGTTGACCTCGGGGGTAGCATCCAGATTAGCGGCCGAAGCAGCTCTTCGTCTCGAAACCGACCTTTTCGGTCTCTCTTGCGCTTCTACTTGGGCGACACGTTAGCCCTGTCTTGTTGGATAGTCTTATGTCTTGCGTTCCTATGGTAACGAACAGACATCTCCTGTTCGTGGAGCACCATAATGGAGCCAGGGCGGATGAGCGTGGGCAACACTTACCTCGTCTGTTGGCCAGGATGGCGTCGATCATGGTTAAGAGGGCTTCACGAGCGCCGCCGGGAATATCGGACGAGATCCTCAGATGGGCAACACACGAGGGAAAGCTGTGTGCTACGGCGTTCATATCCACCTGGCGTATGCTCGCAGGGGTATCACATTTCGTCGCGACGAGTATGGTTGGTAGGGAGGAGTTGGCCAGGGAAGCTGCGGCACAGGCGGGTATCTGTCAGACGTGTGTCTCGGGGGGGAAAGCATCGTGAAGGGGAAAGCTGAAGAAGCTCACTCATGGTTGGGGAGAGATCGTTGATGCTGTCCGTGTTGGTGACGTCGTACAGAATCAGGGCGCCGTCGGGCATGTGGGGGAACATGTGGCCGTCTATTTGCTTGGGCCATTGTATGGACTGGCCGGGGTCAAGGTCTTTGAAGCCGTCAAGGTCAAGTTCTACGAGGGTGACGAGGTATCTGGTGCCATGGATTTCCATGCGCAAGGTCGAGATGTTTAGCTCGGGCGGTCGTTGCAGACGGAACGCGCGCTGGACAAAGGAGGATTTGCCCGCGCCGTAGGCGCCAATAACGGCAATGTGTATGGATGCCATGGCACGTCTCGATCGCGATTGATCGAACTTGCGAAACCACGTCATACCATGTCAGTTCAGCTGTTGCTTGTCTAGAAAAAGAAAGGTATGGTGTGGAAGGTGGTGGTAGTAGGTAGTATGCGGGAGGCTCACCCACGGCGTTGGGCTGTCGACTCTCAGAGACTCTTTGCGAGGCGGAGGCCACGGTCGGTGCGGATCATTGCGATTATAGCTATAAGTCGACTCAGACTGGGGACTGGGAACAGGACCCGGACCCGGACTGGGTGTCTGACTGAGAATCAGACTAGGATGGAAATCAGGCGTGGTGGCAGTGTCTGTGGTACGGGTATTGGGCGCGCCCACAGGTCGGCAGAAGAAGGGATCGTCGAGGACGGCAGCAGCAGAGGAGCCGCGGTAATTGGAGGAGGGGCCGGGGCCGGGATGGTCGTCGTCGGCTGGCAGCAAAAGGGCGCCCTGGGAGACGAGGAGCGATGGCGTTGCTGCTGAGGTCGGCTGTGTTGTTGACGAGATGGCAGCGGCAGAAGCGGAAGTAGCGGCGGTCGTGGCGTCGTCGAGATTGGTGGTCTTGTTGGTGTTTTGGTGGTCCTGGTGGAGGAGATGCGGATCGGCAGCACCCGCCGAGCTTGCTAGCAATGGATGAGTGGTGCCTAGTTTTGTAGGTGTACACTGAAGCGGCAATGCAAACTCGCACAGATCGGCCGGCAGCTCCAGGCCCAGATCCAGGTCCAGGTCCAGGTTGGGGAGCTTGGGGAGGAGCTCGGGCAATTGGGGATCGTCAGCTTCAGCGTGACCCGACCCCGTGAGACCCAGCATTTGCTTGACTTGACTGATCAGCCGGCGCGACTCGGTCGGCAGTGGTGTAGGCTGTAATTGCGACGGCGACTGCTCCAGCGGCGGGGGGCCTGCCAGTGCGTCCGACAGTGGTGGTTCCGACATGGGCATGGACTTTTTTCCTGCGTTTCGAGAGGATGGGAAATCAATGCTTCACTGCTACGGCACCATGGCCATCTCGACTCCTTTACCAGACGGAATGATTGACAAGTCTAGGTAGGTCAAACAGTTACGCAGTAGTATTAATAGGTAGTACGGATATCGGAAACATGAGAGTGGTTGAGTGATTAGGTAGTGGTGCCAATGATAACCCCCCCCTTTTTTTTTTCCCTTTTCCTCATCTCGCAGGTCCCGTCCGCGGCCAAGGGTAGTGTAAAGCCGTGTAATGGCTGATGGGTCAGGTCAGTCAGTGAACGGACGGTGGTCTATTTGGTTCATGGTCTAAATAGGCACACTACTTCCGTCTATTCTCCATACAAGTACGTAGACGAAGACAGGTAATTACCGACCCAAAGTCTCTTTCGTGATGGGACATGAGTGACTCCAGTCCTCCGTTCGCCTCGATGATTTGTCGGCCCTTGCAACGGCCCGGGGCCCGAGACAGCTTGCAGTCCGTCGTCAGACCGCAACTGAAGAAAGAAGAAGCGAGCGGACGGTGCACTCTGCAATGCGAAATGACGATGGAGAGCAAAAAGAGGGCCACATCTGACGGACTGACAAAAGGAAGAAACCTCCACCTCGAGATGGGAATGGGGGTGGTGAGAAGGGAAAAGAAAGGAGACCTTCGTATTCCTACCGGCTCAGGCTCACACGTGCAGGACTTGTTGAAGCTAAAGGGCTCAAACATAACAGTGGGTTGACCACTAACACGCCCAACTAGGCAGGTTAGGTTACCATGTTCGAATAACCACCGGGCTCCCAGGGTCCGGGCCTCCCAAGATTCAAATAAGGGCCGGGACGACAACAAAACAGTTCGGAAGTCTGGACCTTTCTCCAACCCCACTGATCTCCCAACAGCCAAGTGGATATCGACAAACTGCGTCGCGTCGACACGTCGTCCAAACCAGCCTGAAGCAGCAGCAGTATCGTCTCTTCTGGTGGTGGTCTTGGGTCCTGTGGGACACCCACCACTCCTCTCACTGCAAGGGAGTTCAGAGCCTCAACCCTCGCTCGATCGATGGGCGAGACGGACGAGCAAACATGGCGCGCCACAGCGTCACAGCGTCCGTCACAACAGGGTTAACTACGGACGTATCGTCAGTCCGTCCACGGACGCGCCGTGGTCGGTACATTCGGGCGGAGAACTCGGCGTGCAAACACCAAAACAAAACATCAAACTTTACTTGGAGGGGACGGATGCCGCCTGCCTCCATATGTACTACTTATCCATCCACCATATACAATGACGACTCGAGATGGTGGTGATAGCAGGTTGACGTTGACAAGATCCTCCACAACTGCTTAGTGTTACAATCACCGCCACAAGTTCCGAGAAACTGAAGCTGTCGCGCGTAGCACTTGTGCGCCCCAAACATCCGCTGCCCAGAAATGTTAGGCTCCGTGCCTTACTGACCGCCCTTACGCCCGCCGGACTGCCTGGCATGCTCAACGATAACAAGCTGGAGAACCTGGTCAGCCGGAGCCCGAACAGAAGAGCAAACTCCAAAAAGGGAAAAGTCGGGGCCCCGCATGATGGCCAGGCGCTATCTGTGGAGGTCCGACCCGAGCCAAGGGATGAATGGCTATGAGAATCAACGAGATGAGAATGAGCAACGGTACAACATGCTTGGTGATCGATGCTTACTCGAATTCCAGATCGAGGTCGTCGGCTGTTTTGTCTGTCTGTCTCACACTCCTTGTCAGCTCAGTATGTGCGGTCGGCGTGTTACCAGCTACTTTGTCTGGTAGAGCCAAGACAAAAGATTCATTCCGAGGAAGCGATTATCCGCAGCCAGTCAGTCGCCTTGAACCACAGTTGAAGCATGAATCACGGCCTTCACAATACGCAAAGGGGGCAAGACGGGCGTACTCAAACTAACCAACTGCTCACAAATTCGTTAATAATGGTCCAAGGACAAGCGAGGCACGAGTGCAAAATACCCCCTCATCCCAATCCAGTTTGGTATAATCCCCAGTCACGGGCGTAGCGCAAGTCAAGTGACACACATTGTCAGATTATATGTCTCGTCCATGTCGCTCATCTGCAAGATTCCAAGGCAGCGCGCGTGCCTTCTCACAATGTGACAATGGTCGAACATGGCCTCACGGCATTTGGCTGCCCGTCGACTGTTCGCTACCAAGCTGTTCTACTGTACCGTGGCCTCATGCACATAAATATTGAATGCGACAGCACGTTGCGTTGCTACTGTATTCTGTAGAGTAAAGTAGAGTCGGTCGTTCACCTAAAGGGCTAGAACCTCTTGGGTACCAGGACATACACAATAGGAACAATGGTTGGCGTAACATCCAATTTACCTAGCGATCCAGCTTTGCCCGTCATGTCAATCTTGGCGAGAATCATATGGAGACAAAGTTCGCCTCTGATCAAAAAGAGTTGGGGGAGGGAAGCCCACTCAATGAGGGGTCACAAGTCTTATTCAGGTACGACTAGGACAAGACGGGAACTGCCTGGAAGTACCAAAGGTAGTAGAGGTATATACTTTCCTGTCCTCGCTCGCCCTTTACGGCTTCTTCCTGTCGTACCACCCATCGTCTTTGATGTGTCCATCCCTTGACAACTGTCCTTTGTTGAGAAAACTCAGACACAATCTTGGGGGCAAAGGCAATCCAACCGAAGCCAACTAGAAGAAAGCAACCTAAATATCCTCAAGACCATCGCCATCATCGCTACCTACTATCATTTGCTGTTGCTGTCGCCCCCGCCCTTCAAAGTACTTAACTAACTTCCTTATTGTACTTTCCATCCGTCATCAAAATCACTACCTGAGGCCAGGTTTTCGGGATAAGTCGTCTAGAACAAGCAAGGGATGAGCTACGGCAAGGGCCGTGTCATAAAGCAAGAGCCGTTCAAGGCAACGGGTCGAACAACGTTGACTGATGCATACTGTCGAACTGGCAGCTACTGCACGTCTAACATTTACACATACCTCAACGGGCACCGGGAAATATTCGCCTCCGAGCCAAATCGCTGAATAATTTCCATCCTTCCTGCCTGCATCAGCTCAGCCGTCGCACCTTCTTCGAGATGTCGTTCACCAAATGGTTCAAAGGAAGCGGAAGTGGAACGAACGACAAGGACGGCCCACGTCTCAAAAACAGTCATCAGAAAAAGAAGAGAAGCGAAGACGAAGACCACTGCACTCAAGGCGACATGGAAGGTTACGTCTATGACAACAACTACCACTACCAGCCCGCCCCTGGACTCCAACCTCAAGGATATGGATATTCGCAACGGATGGCGGCAAAGCCTAGGAAGCCGAGACTGGCGGCACAGGAGGGACACTTCGATGCCGAGGAACTGACGCGTCGACTTCTCGATGTGCTAGCCGAGCAAAAGACACACGAGATCAAGAAGCAAAGGATGAGAGAAGCTAGGACCGTAGCGGCAGCAACAGATCCAGCTACTCAATGGCAGCAACGGCAAGAAGCAGCGATATCTGCTTTGAACAGGGCCCCGACTGCAGCCGGCCGGACAACAGGTTTGAGAAAACCAAGCAAGTCGTACACCGACAACGATTCCGAAGCCGCCCCGGACGAACAAGAGCATCGCCATGTACCTGAAGACGCAGCCAGAGCGTTCAAAAAAACCGATACCAACAAAGCCATCTGCCGCCAAGACAAGCTCGACAAGCAAGCCCACGGCGAACACCGCCGTCAAATTAGTGAACATATCGTTGAGGTCCCCATGGAAGAGCGCATAAGGGCCCTGCCGTACCAGACTCAGCCCCGATTAACCCTGGCAGACGAGAAGCGCCTCAAGCGAGAACAGATACTCAATGAGGCATCACCAGCGGGCCACAAAGCTCATGGACAAACTGTTGTTGAAAGGGTCAAGAGACGGCATGATCTCAACCTGGAAGGGGCACTTTCGAGGATCTCGGTGGCCTGCGCGTCTGAAACCAACATTGGTGAACTCGACCATTCCAGAGCAGCATCAAAACCAGCACCAGCACCAATATCAGCAACGGCTGGCAAGCAGCAACCCGGGAAACGTAGCAAGGAGCCCGAATCTGTAATCTTCCCTCGTCCACTGGCTACTCGCACCATGACCACAACGCAAGACCAGGCCACCTCCCGGCAAGGACACCAGCCAGCAGCACCCTCAGCAGCAGCACCACAAACAGCACCAGAGAAGAACACCAATTCGGTAGAAACGACCCTCTCTAGCGAAAACGACGACTTATCAGCTCTCCCCTCACCCACGACAACCCAGTCTCAAAGCCAAAGCCTAAGCAAGCGATTTCGAGCCTCCCCCTTCGTCAATAAGTCCCCATCTCTCTTGAACCTGCGCCAAAAGCTCGGCATGACCGGAGGCTCTGGCTTCGGCTCCGGTTCGGGCTCCGGCTCCTCCGGCTCTCCAGGTTCTCCAGTAACCGGCAATAGTAGCGGCAGTGGCAGTGAGCTGTCTACAGCCACCACTGGGATTTCGAGAGGAGAGGAAGCTGCAACGTCACCACTTACTGCGGCGTCTTCTTGTCGTGCTGGTGCCGGGGCGGATAACCAACCGCAGACGCAGACGCAGACGCAGACGCAGCAGGGGTGGGGGTTGCTGAAGAAGACGGCGACGGTGATAAGTCAGGAGAAGGAAAAGACGAGGATGAAAAGTAAAAAGAGTGGGTTCTTTGCTAAGCTTGGGGGTAGTGTGAAGAAGGGAATGTTTTGAGTAGAGTTGCTTGTGTTCTTCTGTGTCTTGATGAAGTATAGGTTATGCATGGGATGATGGGATACATAGGTAATGATGATGGGTATGGATGGCGTAGAGTGGCAGGCAACCTAAGTTTGGTAAACGTCTTGGGTTTTGGAACAAAGACGGATTTTGGACGGCGAGGAACTATTCCAAATTCCAGTGATCAAGCTTTCGGCTTACTTATGCTGTACTATATCTGGTGTTAAAGTTACCGATATACACCAGCAGATATGCAACGTTGGCAAGTGTTTGTATACAGCTTATATTTCGTCAAGTACAAGTAATTTTCTGTTGTCCCGATATCTGACGTAGAACGAACGATGCCACTGAGGTATGGTTACTCGTAACAACCCACTACCATGGTGACTTTGTCACTCGGACGAGTATCCAAAGCAATGACGGCTCATCAGATGTTACGAATCACCGTCGTATGCCATACTCCCTCGTTCTAGAACCATAGATAGAGCAAGTCCATTCAGCCATAGCGTGGAGCAACAATTTCCCATCTACGCCGCGTATTTCCATTCTGAAACCGCGCTCGGGAGGTCGTGCAAAGCCTAGTGATCCACTGTGGTTTTATTTTCACATCGAGTGAAGACCCCAGTCTACCCAACCAGCCGCCCCCCTCTTGATGCGGTTACTTGAGAGTAGTCAAGGAAAAGGGGGTTAAGGAAAGGTCCCATCACCAACCGCGCCATAACTACCAAGTCGCTCCCGTTCCGAAAGACTGGTGCAGTTGCGTCGGCCCTATGAGCGCGGATATGCTCAGTGACCCGAAAACTCAAACTCGATATATCCATGACAATAAATCCCTCTCCTCTCTGGGTATCTTTTTTTTTGGCACTTGAAAGCCATGACCTCTTCTTATGCCCGCTTGCTTCCTTGCTGTGTATACATCTTTCCAACAGCCAGCCAACCATTTTACAGTGAAATAAACAAAGTCGGCGTTAAGACCATCACTGCTTCGGTCCGTCACTTTTTCCTTTCCTTGCCCTTTTTCCGATGTCTGCTGTTCAGACAGGTATCGTTGGCAAAGATCAATCCATTCGTTGGGTCAACCACGCAGTTTAGCGGCCCCAATCCCTTTGACACCCTACCTCCCTCACTCCATGTGAGTCCTCCGTTTGTTCGTTAATCATCGAATATCTTCCGCTCTCACTAGGGAACTTCAGCATCCATCTCTCCATGGCTATCCTTTTCTGAGGGTGTTTGCCATTCATCGATCCCCACCCTCCCCCTTAATCTCCTCCTCCAACAACCTCTTCACCACCTCCTGTTCCTCCTTGACAACTTTCTCTCTAACCAGCTGCGTCACATCCCTCCTACTCGTCCCAACACCATTACTATTACCACTAGGCCTAGCCAACTCCCCCCTTTCCTGACCATTCAACAACCAAAGCACCGTTTCACAAAGCTCCCTGATCCCATCTCCCGTCTCACTCGGATCCGTCCTCGCGCTCCTCAAAGCCGCAGCCCCGCGACGCAATCCCACTTCCCTAGACCAGGGCTGCGTGTCTTTCTTGAAATAGGACTTCCCCGAAGAGGAGGCGTACCCGGGCACGTTTACACGAACGGGGAGGCCGGAGGCGGTGGTGGCGAAGCCAGTGTTGGGGTCGACAGGAAGGCCGTTGGGGTTGTTGACGGGCGGGAGGGTTTGAGATAGGATGTGGTTGAGGCGAGACTCAAGGTGAGGGTATTTGGATAGAAGGCGGGTGATGTGGTGAGCGTGGGGCAGGAGGAAGGCTAGGGGGTCGGTGTCGATGGGTTGGGGTTGTTGTTGTTGCTGCTGCTGCTGGGTGTTGGTGGATGGTTTGGGTTGTACCTCGGAAGGAGGGGGGTGGTTTACTTTGTGGGACTTGTTGCAAGCTACTGAGCAGCTGTTTGTGATGATGAGTACGCATGTTGGGCCTGAGCAGATAAGGGTTTGTTTTGTGAAACTTACTACATAAGCGGGCAGCGCGGACACCTGTACTTCCCTGGCTGCGCTTGACAGACACCACATTGCTTCGCTTCCTTCTTGACAGGTTTTGGTGATGATTCTGGTTCGTCCCCCGGGCTCGGACGTTTTCGTGATGGCGAAGCGGGCTCTTGATTCACTGTTGGCTCCGCGGCTTGTGCCTCTTGCTGCTGGTCGTTTGACTTCCTCGTTACGTAAGTCGGCTCTTTCTTTGGTTCTTGCTCGATCTGAGGTTGTATTATGATGTCTGATTGGTCTTTTGAGCTTGGCTGTCCGTTGACTTGTATAGCATCTGGGTCATTATCCTGGGTGACTGGGGCCTCATCGCGGGCGTCGGCGATGAGCGCCTTTAACTCATCGGCGAACAGTCGCTGGGACTCATCCGAGGCCATTTTCGGGCCAAGTTCGACGGGCTCGGCGCTCATTGCATCCAAATGATGTCTCAGAAACGCGCGGCTTTCTCAATCCAATGGGCCGAGACCTGGCAATCTGTCAATGTCGATAGTGAGGGGCGTGGCGCGCAAAAGGTGAGAGGTGACAGTGAGCGAATGCTGAAAAGCTATATGTTTATACGATGGCACCGTAAAAGTAAAGTCGTACTCGTTGAGTAAAGGTCAGTCTTAGTTTTGTGGCTGGGATATCTCTGAGTGAAGGGTTTCGGTTTGTGAGGTTGAATTGAAATTTTCGAAACGGAATTCGTATCAATATCGCCAAAAGTCGCGATCCGCAGTTTTTGCCAAGCGACCAGGGAAATGCCGATAGGGCGACAAGGACGTGAAGCGAAGGATGTAAGTCGTCGAATATGATTGGCACTCAGCTCCCTCCGTCCAAGCAAAGAAATGCGTTGTCCGTGTGCTGCAAGAGATGGTGGACTTGGGCAAAACATCAATACATACCTAGAGGTATGGATGAGACTGAATAAACTGCACAACGGTCCTTCGTTCCAAAGCCAAAGTCCCGCCACAAGTGGAATTCCCAATCCAATCAGCGTAGAGGCTGACAAACCACTCCGTCAAAATTGCAGTCAATTGCCCCAAAGGGGAAGCTATGACGCAAAAAGACGGATCAGTTAAGAGCTCAAGGTGCATAGTAATACTGGACCCCTGGAGCTGGCATGGCAGTGGACGCCTATCGGCGCTAATCGCGTTAGCGTTAGCGGCCGCTGACAATTCCATGCCCGGCACGGCGGCAACATTTCGGAATAGCGGGTAGTAGTTCTTGTAGTGTAGATGGAATCTGTTTCGGCGTCATTCCTTTTCCCATCCATCTTCCTTTCCCGTCCGAAGTTGCCGTGTTTCTCTCCCTCGACGGCATTCCGACCAACACCACCACCACCGACGATGCCAATAAACAGACTATTATTACGAAAAGGCCTAGTGCCTCTCGTCTCCAAGTCGACCGTGCGACCCGCCGCGACAACCATCCCGTGTCTGCGCCAAGGTGCTTCCGCTTCTGCTCCCGCCAGCACCAGCACCAGACAAGCGCATACCGGCGCCCGTTCGGCCGCTCGTCCCCGTCTTCAGCAACGGTCATGGGGGGCTCTCAACACCACCCTCGCGCCCCAGCAGCAGCAGCGCCGTACCATCTTCATCCAGACCGAAAACACGCCTAACCCGGACTCGCTCAAGTTCCTGCCCAACCAAAAGGTCATCCCGGACTCGATCAAGACGCCCTTCATCGAGTACATGAACGCGCGTAGCACCATTGCGCCACCGTACCCTTCGCCGCTGGCCGCGCAGCTCATGAACATCGAGGGAGTCACCTCGGTCTTTTACGGCACCGACTTTATCACGGTGACCAAGTCGGCCGACGCCAACTGGGCGCACATCCGCCCGGAGGTGTTTGCACTCATCACCGAGACCATCACGTCGGGCCAGACGATTGTCAACGTGGTGGAGCGCAATGAAGGGGAGGAATCGACGCAAGAGTCGGACGAGAAGGATAGCTTGGCGTACGACGAGAACGACAGCGAGGTGGTGGGCATGATCAAGGAGCTGCTGGAGACAAGAATCCGCCCCGCGATCCAGGAGGACGGTGGCGATATCGAGTTCCGCGGGTTCGAGGATGGAATCGTCAAGCTCAAGCTGCGCGGAGCATGCCGGACGTGCGACTCGAGCACGGTGACGCTGAAGAACGGAATTGAGGGCATGTTGATGCACTACGTAAGTCTTTTTTCCTCTGGCCGCTGTCTCTTTTCCGGCCTGGTTATGGCTTCAACAAACACGTTGCTGACATGCTGAACAACACCCACAGATTGAGGAAGTCCAAGGCGTCGAACAGGTACTTGACCCCGAAGAAGACATAGCATTGCAGGAGTTCCAGAAATTCGAGGAAAAGTTGAGGAAGCAAAAGGGCGAAGTCCCTCCCACCACCGTAGGGAAGGACTCCTTGGATTCTGTCCCTGGCTAATCTCTTTCTCTTGGGGGGCCTCACTCACTATCTTTTTTAGATTGAAGAACCGTCCTAGAATTCAACCATAAGCTTCTTATACCATGTCCGTACCGTATCCTCTACTCTCAAAATGGCTATCGCCCTCAGATGTACCCACCGTTGGATATGAACCATACTTGATTCAACCTGGAAGGAGGAGTATACCCTAATACCTCCCCATGTCAACTTGAGCGGATTGAATTTGGTGTCCTTGTTTGTTCCCTTGACTTTTTCCGATTACAGATCGCCTTCCGTGAAATACAAAGTCGATAAGAAATCATGCGGGTAGGGAACCCGCAAGGTCGTACAAGCCACTCTCGGGGTGGTATGTGGAGCATGGGATATGGGACAGAATTGGAAGCTTCCCCGCTCCAACCTCAACCATCTGGATCTAAGCACAAAGGTGCAATCGATGATCGATAGGATCAGCCTGTTGACCGGTCTGGGTTCTGGAGGTATCTCGCTGTATGCAGGGTGTCATGTCCTATCAAGGATGAACGAAGGGTAGTGGGGTGGTCAGGTGCCGATGATTGCCGACACGGCTGCAAAATGCCACCGATACCTTGTGTCATATGAGTTGGGGTTATGGCGTTGATGATGGTTTTGTACTGGGTGGGATGGGTTTGTGGATGTACGTAGTGAAGTATATATGTGGAGGACCCTGGTCACATACCTTTACAATGATTATTTACAGCGCAATTTGAGCAAAGGAACAAGTGCATACAGCAGCGCCAGATATCGTGAAACAGCTGGTACTCGCCTCTCATGACTTGACATGGCTTGGGAGCCTCGCAAGTAATGTCTCAAAAAGCAGACGCTTCTAGACCTAACAACTTGCAAGTCCTCAGTTTCCAGCAGTGTTTTGTTGTCTCGACTCCACATTTACATAGTTCAATCCTACCTCGGACGGCACGACGGTTTGTAGAGTCTGGCGAAGTGTGGCATGAGCCATCCATGGATCATCTACCTACTTCCTCGTACATATTAAGTTGCTCAATAGCGAGTCGGCTTTGCTGATGGTATCCATGACATGTTCCAAACACTTATCCGTAGCATGGAGTACGTACTCTCGAGATACTGTACCTCTTTCTGGTGGAACCTCCTTACGCTAGTTGCTCACGTTGTGTGTGTCTAATGATGTCTCCCTTGCCTAGGCTAGGCGCCAGAACGCCTCTCGGTCTGCAGCGAGTTCTGTCTAGAATACTAGGTGCCATGCACACCGGGTTGCTGCAGACGGCTTGTTGCCTTGCTGGTCAGATAGTACACTAGAGGGTTGGCGAGTCTATACTGGTGCACACGCCTACGTTGTTTTTGTGCTTTCGTCTTTCACCACGAAGATCATCCCGTTGTTTCTGATGGGAACTTTCCGAAAAGTGTTTCAGAGTAACCCGGACTCTCGTGAAGAAATCTTACACAGGAGTTGAGTATGACCTTAACCTCCCTCCATGACGTTCTCATGAAATGATAGTCGTATGTTGTGTTGTGTTTCCATCTGGTAGTGTCCGTTCGTGGCGGGTTGGAGATCGTCGATCTGCGAAAGGGAGGAGGCACGCCAGTCTGCCACCTCCACTTCAGCAATCAAGAATTATGGTGCGGCAAGTGGCCAGAATATGTTGAACTTGTGGCGTGACAAGGTAGGCAAAGAGACACTCAGATAATATCCGAAGCGATTCTTCGACGAGCTTGCCTCCGTGCGTCCGCTTGGTGGACATGAAGTTGCCAAGGTTTTAGGGTGACAATCGGAAACGCGAATGACTTCTTTTGCCTTTCCTAGTTGCCTTGTTACTGATCGAGGACGTATTACTGCATAGTACCGGACTTACTATGCAGACTCGCAAAGAGGACAAACTACCCAGAGCTTTGCCAAAAGAGCCGTGGAACTGGCCTAGGTACCAATGAATGAGACTGCGGGCGAGGGATGTATAGCAGACTGGCTCGAGACGAAGTGACAGTTTGATGGCAGATGTGAGAACGCCCTATGTGAATGGAGATGGGGTGATGAAGACACAGGGGTCTTGGAGAGCGCCCCCTCACTCTCCAACTCCCCTGACCATCTAGGGTTGAGGATGCCGGACCGCCCCTTGTCGTACCCGTTGTGCGCTATGGCCTTTTCCCCAACCTTCAGGGGGGTACTTAATACCCAACTGTTCGTTCTTTTTGCGGGGCTAGGCGCGGGGTACGTAATATTCAACGACGGGTTCAGCGGGAGATGATGCTCGAGGAGGTGCCCATCACGTCGACGGGGTGGGGCGGGGCCGGTGCTACATTGGGCCCGATTGCCACACGCATCGACCTGCGATGTGAGATGCTTGGGAAGCGGAAAGTGTACACTACACTAGAGGTCCCTCTGTCACCCTGTGTTGACTCGTTGAGGGCCGGGTTTCAAGCATCGCGGTTGCGCCATGTGTGATATATGATGGCCCAGCGTGGGTGGATGTCGCTTGCTTATGTTCATGACACCTAGTCTCGGGCTTGAGAACACTGAGGTGTGCAAGTAAGTAGGTACCTGTTTCATTTAATGCATAAACGAATCGGCTACACTGGCTGAATACCTGTAGTTCCTCGGAATAGCTTCGATCTTATGGCTAGTCCTTGTCGCTCACATCAACCTTTAGACTGAGAAGCCATGATTTATGTGTAGCTTGGTTTCTCTGGCTTCGGGTACCTCTGGATGTTGATGATTTCAGTTTCCCCATTGCACGTGAGGTGGCTGACTTGGCGAAGGTGACAGGCCGCCTCGTTCAATGTCTTGATTAATGTTATTCTTTGTCCCGACTTGATTCGAGAGATGACCCAAAAGTGACGAAAAGTGCAGCTTGAGGGGAAGAAGTTGCGGTACATCAAGGTACAGACCACTTGGTAAGCTGCCCGCTGGCCACAGCTCCCGTCTCTGCCCCCGCAAGGGTACCGTGTGTCTCACACTGTACAATGGGGAACTGGGGGATGGAAGGTGGACATCCAAGGAAGCGGTCTCTCATCTGGAAAACAACTAGGAAAGTGAAAATTGTCAGAAAATGATGATGGGGAGACGAGCGGGAGTGGATGTCAACGAAGGGAGCCAAAGCCCTCGCCAGCTCCGCCATTCAGAGGGCTGTAGAAGTATGCGCCATGGAGAGCACTGCTTGAAGAAGATGCAGATGCAGCGCCATGAGGTTACATCACATCGATTGCGCAGAAAACTTCCATCTTTTCCCCGTTACTGAGCTTTGCGTTGATTCGGTTGGGTGATCTGCGGAGGCGGGATGGATGGGTGGAAACGAACAAGACCTTGGAGTAGGCAGGTAGCTGGGTGCGCCTTCTGTCTCCTGTCTATCGGTGCAGGATCCGGGGAAGGAAGCAAGGGAACGCTGCTCGGTGGACTCCATGATGATTATCGGATTTGACGTAATTTCCCCATTTGGGCTTGTTACAGTTCGGAAGAATCCCTTGGATACATTTTCCATATCATCTGAAGACTGTCAATATTCCGAGGCTCTCTATCCTGCCTCCGCATTGGTGATATCGGTGATGGTGGATCATGGAGAGAACCAAGATCGACCCCCAGACGGCCCCGGTTGTTTTTTTTTTTTTTTACCAACGGTGCCCGGCCGGGACTTGTGTCTCCACAACCCACAGGGCTGGTCGGGTCCTCAGATGCGGCCCCGCAAAGGAACCGATTGAGGAACATGGGCAAGAGGGAGATATGTAATCAAGATGGAACCCGGACCATACACACCTACCTACAAGGCCCGGGCCTCAGCGTGAATGACCTATACCCATGCCGTGATGGTCCAGGATATCGACCTGACGATCCCCCAATCCGGCATCTGTGCAGATGCCCCGGACTATGTAGTCGTGAGAATGAAAAACAGACAAACCATGCCGGTACTCGATAAAGTAAGTAGGTGCTGTGCAACAACAACCCAATTTTGCACTTAGCAAGCCGAACCCCTCTCCACCTCGTTGTCTTTGTTGCGAGACGACACGTTAGAGGTATACATTCAGACTCCAACCGGCCTCTTTGTTCGAGTTCACTGGGCGTTGCCGTCGGGTCCAAGCCTCGAGCTGAGAGTGTGTGTGGCCAGGCTCGCGGGGTTGCGACCTTCCACTTCCAAAGCTCTCCCGAATAGGACGGGATGTTCGTGAACCCCAGTTAACCGGCGACACCACGCTACACTCTCCCTCGTGGACACTCATCACCAGGACACCATCTTCTTATCGTTTGCCCCGATGGTCACTCCATTCCCTTCTTGAGCCAGGATTTTGCCAGTCCGTTGTTGTCCGCTCATGTTTGTCAATCTTTCCGCTTGTCTTGGGTCTTCAGTATTGGACTTAGGTAGGGCTGAACTTGAGCTCACCACGCCCGCCTCTCTGTTTCCGACCTGTTGCGGTCATTGTTTTGACCTCCCCAAGAATCCGTTGACGACGCGGACAATGTTGACTCCACACCTGATTTCATGCATGCCAGGGCCCGGGGAACAAAAAGGGGACGGTGCGGGACCTCCATTTAGTGTACACTATTCCTGGTCCCCCAGAATCCGGCAGATGGCGCCGTGATTGGTCTTTGGACATGGGGAGCGGAAGCGCTGCTTTGTCTTTGCCACGGAGGCCCATATATTGACGGCACCAAGCTGGGTTCGGCTAGCCTGGTCCAGGATCCAGCCACTAATAAGCAGCATGTTTCCAGCCTTCCCCGCTCACCCTTCGAAGGCTCGAACCCACACCTGGTGGTCCATCCTCCGAGCCTCCGTACCATTTTATACCGTTACATGCTATTACATACATAGTACCAGGCATTCTACTTCTAGGCTGCGAGTCCAGTGACCACTTGGATCGATTCGCGCTTCGACAGTTTGTCTCTTTTTAGTCCCGCCAGGGCCAGCTCCAGCTCCGGCCTGCAGCTAGCTCCCTTCATCTTCTTCCGTCCTCACCCTCCCTCCCTCCAGTTCGCCCTTCCTTCCCTTCCATCTGCTCTTCACGTCGTCAACCCTTTCCCACCCCGTACTGATCGTCCGCGGCCGACACGCGCGCGCAACACATCCATCACTCGCCCCCCCTCTCTCAGGCTCGGCTTGTTGAAACCGCTACCCGCCGTAGACTGCGCGCATCAGCTGATCCTCCGCCCGCCCCGTCCTTTTGGCCCCGAGAGCCGGCTCGGACTTCAAGTTGCGCCGCTTCACTTTCGTCGCCTTCCGCCGCACCTCCGTCGCACTTCCGCCGGCGTCGGGTCTAACTCCTCCTGCCTGCCGAGCTTAAATGCGGGCTCACCACTTGAACAACTAGAAACTTCAGTCTGTCCTCTTTGTCACCAACGACAACCGTCCTGCGTCTTCCACACCTGTCGAGTCCTCGTGTTTTTCGAGCTTCCACCTCCTCATCATCCTGTCGCCAGTTCCGACCTAATCATCTAGTTACACGTCGTGACTGCGGTCGGTTGTGACTTTCCAAGCTGCTCTCAGTCCGATCGTCGCACACAAGAACCTACTTGCTCCTTCATTGGGTCCTCTGCGGTTTGTTCAACCCGCGTGAGGCGCAAATCGGTGCCCGCTACAGCACGTATTGGCCGCTCCATGATTCTAGTGTGGACGCCCGCCAAATCATCCGTCAGACGTTAGGGTTGTTTAGGGAGCCAGGCATCCCGTCTCTTATGACAGGTTTCTCGAAAGAGCTCAGAAAAGTTCTAGGATCCTACATCCTGTTTCATTATCACCGTGCGGGCTTCAACCAGCAACGTATGTCTCCCAGACTCGTCATACTCATGCCAACACTTCCCTGAATTCCTTTTTCTTCCCCAAGTCTCCAATAACTTTGTTCGACCCTGACTGCCAAGGCGTTGAAAGCGTCCTTTGTTTTCCTTGTGTCGGGGCTGCGGCAGTACGTCGTGCCGAATAAGCTAACAGTATGCTCGCAGAACTGTACTTTAGTTCTTCGCACCATCTTCCATCGACCAGTTGACGCTCGATTCCCTATACTATCCCTCTCGAGTACATCAAGGCCATCACAACAACTCCCACGTGTCTGTGGCTTGCCAGATAGCGGGTGGGGTGTATAATCATATCTGGTTAAGAAGCGTTGGCTTCCCGAAGAGGCATATCTGTTTCATCACAAGAGAGTCAAGCTTGACGACTCAGCCTCCTAGGCTGACCCTCCACCATGAGTTCTGGCACAGGTAAGCCTGCTCTACAGGCAAAGACAGGGCAGGGCAACTTTGCCGCGGGCATGCCCAGCACGCAGGCGATACTGCTGGACAAGCTGAACCGTGGCTCGACTCCTGACTCCGAAGCCTTGGCGAGCTCAGACGACGAAGTTGACCCACTTCGTCAAGAACCTCCGCCTACCTCAACACAAGCTCCCAAGCAACCTGTCCGCCGGGCATCATGGCTGAATGATACGTCTCAACCACCACCGCCGCCCCGCCAGCGGAAAGAATCGTTTGCGAGCACCTCCATGTCTCCTACAACTTCCCACCCCAGCACGCCAGCTATAGATTCTGGAGTCGGTGCCTGGGGCACCCATCCGGCTGCTTCTGCAGTCCATGGCCGATCCCATGCTGGACCTAGTCCATTCAGTACTACATGGGGTGCAGGAATCTGGACAAACGAGAGGAATAACCCTCCCTCTCGTTTAGCAGAGGTCTTGCCTTCGCCGACATCTGGCATACCGCCTGGCAGCTCGGGCGGCTCGTTTTTTGATAACGCGCTAGCTCAACAATCGGTTGGCTCCAGAGATACAGTCCCAAACCCTCAGATTCCGTTCCCGATTCCTCTCCATCCTACGCCCAAAACCTATCGATCACAGTCGTACTCCGTTGGGCAGCTTGACCCAGAAACATCTCTTCCTTCTGTTACTACATCCGCGGTTCTGGGCGGTCGTTCGCGTCCGTTAGGCCATCCCGGCTTGCAGCATCGTCCTTCTCGGCCTAGTATGTTGAGTGAGATGGCAAATGATGGCTCCATGCTTGGAAAAGTAAATGAAGACGATGACGATGATAGTACCGGCTCTCTCCAGGGAGCCAGTCAGCAGCAGTCCGCTGAAGCGAAAGCTATTGAGTCGTTGATGCGCGAGAATGCTATCCTGCGCCAGCAGAATCAGTATCAAAGTTCGCGTTTGAGACCTCGGGCATCTACCTCGAGTGTGTTTGGGTTAGGAAACGCGTACCTCCAGGAGGCTGTTCCCGAAGAATCAGATTTTGCTGTTGATGAGCTTGATGAGGCGAACGATGGGTCTGACCTCGGCAGGAGGAATCTGGCCAGACGGATGAGCGAGTTTGGTGTAGGCCCGTATCGCACCCCTTATATGGCGGATCATAGGAAAGTTGATAACACCAACCTAAAGAGGGCTCTCTGGCAAACATCTCTCGGGTTCGGGGGACTGGGAGATATTCCGCAGAGCAGACGGCACTCGTTTGCTGATGTGCCAGTCCGGCAGAACTCCATTGCTTCTATTGGGGAAGGGGTCGCACCACACGAAATCGGTCCTCATGATTCTGCGCCTGACTACGCTTCTCCCGGTTATTCTGATGCTATGGCACTGGCCAATGCTGCTCAAGGTACGATAAAACAGTCCATCTCTCATCAGTCTCCTTCTCAAACACTAACGTCTTCCAAAGTACAAAACTACTTTACGGGAGGTTCATCGCATGCCCTCGCCCAGTCAGCCTATGGAAATCAGTTTCCGTCGCCATACTCTATGCTTCCCAACGCGTACGCCAACAGGCCCAACTCACCGCATCGTAACATGTACGGTGCAGCACAGCCGCGACATGACCAGCCCCTCTACATTGTCCTTTTCAAGTGTGCCAGGGCCGATGTCTTCTATATCCAGGAAGGCACAGGGCTTACCGTGAAACCTGGCGACTTGGTCATAGTGGAAGCTGACCGTGGCACGGATCTCGGCACTGTCGCCAAGGATAACGTTGACTGGAAGACTGCAAAGGAACTCAAGGAGCACTATGCCGAGGAGCAATATAGATGGCTCATGATGTACTCTCAGAACGCAGGAATGGCCCAAGATGGTGTTGGTGCTGGCCTTATGGCGGCCTCAAACCTGCAAGGAAGTGCCGTTGGCGGCATGGGGCCCGCCGGTCAACACCACATCCAGGAGCCTACTTCAGGAGAACTGAAACCGAAATTAATCAAGAGGCTGGCGCAGGCTCACGAGATTCACGCTCTGAGAGAGAAGGAGGGAAATGAGGCCAAGGCCAAGCGAGTGTGCATGCAAAAGGTCAAGGAGCATGGCTTGAACATGGAGATTTTGGATGCCGAGTTCCAGATGTAAGTCATACGTGGAAATGCTTACTTTTCCATCATTCACTAACTCTACGCTAGGGACTGGAAGAAACTGACCTTCTACTACTTCGCCGACTCCTACATCAACTTCAATTCTCTGGTTACCGATCTCTTCAAGATCTACAAAACTCGGATCTGGATGTCAGCTATCAACCCCGCCTCTTTTGCGAGCCCTACCCTTGGCTTACAGGCGCCTAGCGGAATTGGCCCCGGGGCTGTCGGTGTCAGCCGCGCCTCTGCAGCAACAGAACGCCGTCAAAACACGCAGCAACATGACCAACAAAGCGTTTACACTGCTGCTGGTCAGACGGGGCGGAACATCCAAGGGGGGTTCCCAGGCGCCTTCACCCCTGACCGGGCAACGGGACCAGGATCTGGCTACTCTTTACAAACTTATCCCTGGAATTCTTACGTTCCGTTCGGGGCCGCTTCGAGACCCGGACCCGGACCCGGACCCGGACCCGGACTCGGAGGACTGTCATACGCTGTGCCCGGTATGATGCCGAATTCCGATACCTACACAGCCGGTGGTTTCCCACCGGCGGTAGACTACTCTGCACGATCCCGATTCCCAACACCCCAGGCAAGCTCTGGGCAGCACGAACAGATAGGCTCTGCACAAGGGGCACAGGCAGACTGGGCAACAGCGTTCCAAGGCCTTTCTCTCAAATCGAACCCCCGTTGATACCTGTTCAAGTTATTTCTGGCCCTTCTTGTTCAGGTTTAAGACGGTTCGTATCGTCGTGGTTAAACATCGAACATGGGAGCCGCTCTGACCAAAGGAACCGATACACGAGATCTGGGGACAACACGCTGAAGTGGTTGCACGTGGACCATATGTTCACCAGTACAAGACCATGGAATTTGTCAAATTGCACTACTCCAGTCAGTCATCTTCGTTGAGTGCGTCGAATGTTGTTGATCACTTAGGATGACAGGCAGGCCAAAGACTGGTATACGACCTTGTTTTATTCTTGCACGGACGGAGTTGGAACAAAATAATAGACAGACAGACAGAAAGAAAGTAAGAGAGTAAGACGACAGACAGACAAACACAAAGGAGACATTGTGTGGGATGGGACGTTTCAGTTCTACTTATATCACGACATGACCAAGATAATACTTTGCTTCAGGGGGATCGCAAACGAAGATGTCTGAGGTACTACTTTCGTTCATTCACTTCCTTCTTGTTCATTTCACACCCATTCATCACCATTTCGTCTTTTCGACGGGGTGCAGAATCTGCCGCCATGCCTGTGTTAAAATAGTTGCCTTTAGGGATCCCATCATATTCAATTGATGCAGCGGCAAGAAATTGATGGCAGCCATAGACACGCAAAAGAAGAAAAAAAAAGATGAAGAAGAAGATGAAGAAGAAAGACAGAGACACAAGAACGAGCACCAAAAGAGGCATCAAAGAGACCAGTGGTGCAACGGCTTTTCAATTACGGGGCAGACGAGATATTATGGGGTGTAATCTGTTTAATACAGCAGAGCGGAACTTTGTTGTATAGGATAAAGCGCATGTTATGGGATACAGACGGCTTATAGCAATGAATAAGGTACTTTTTCCTGTTAGTTTAGTTCGTAAATTTTGCAAGCATTCGTTCGATTCTGCTCTTCACTATTGCCCTTGTCCTTTGGTGAAGATGATCTCAGTGGTATGCTGAGAATTGCTAAGTATGGTGACAGGTTTCGTTTTCACAAAATCACATGGGTATCTAATGATGTTGTAGGTGTATCGGATGAGCAGAATATGTGTGTACTGCGTAAATGTTGTGTTTCGATGTTCAGTGGCCATATTGTGCCTTCCCCAGATGACAATGGTAAACTTCCACCTTTATGGACAAGGAAGGAGCCAAGGATGGACAGAGACAAGCCCCATCAAGGCCACCAAAGCGAAGTGTGACCCAGGATCGGAAATCTCCTCCTCCATCTTTCCGGTGGAATCTTGGGAAAAGGGAAGTGTGCGTTCTGCCATAGAGCGGGTTAGATGTTCTGCTCCTGCCGGCCGCTCACTTTCCAACCCGTCTTCAACACCATCAAGACCCATCGATCCTCATAGCCATGCCTCCTAAAAGGAGAACGAGTGCCGCAAGCGGAAATGCCGCGCAGAGCAAGCAACAGCCTCCAAAGAGATCCGCCTTGTCTCTGCTAGATACCGACAGCGACGACAAGAAACCGGCACCAAAGCGATCCGTGAAGCGGGTACGGAAGACCCAGACCCAACCACGAACTAAACTTAGCAGCCATGGGCAAGAAGATGAGGATGCAGATGAGAATGGGAGTGATGATGCTGGTGGGGATATTCCACATGTGCAGGTTGCGAATATCAATCGGTAAGTTGCGACTTCCCCCAGATATGATACTGATGACTGCGGGTTGCTGGCTGGCACTAACAGTGTCACCATTGCCATCCCCATGTCTGATAACTGACTGCCGTTCTCGTATCTCGCATAGCAAACGGAGCAAGCCTCGTAATGCACCGCCAGCGACGGTTGAAGAGTACTTGATGGAGCAGAATCAGCAGGCCAAGGAGTTCTTGAAGGGCTTCAAGGCGGAGCTGGTGGAAAGCCAAACTCAGGCGGAGGAGAGTTTGAAGACGTTCAAGCAGGAGTTGTAAGTTCCAACGCTTTCTTTGTATGCTTCCCATCTGCAAAATAGGCATTAATCGATCAAAAATTATCCGCCTTATCACAAAAGGCGACACTAACCCCTTTATTCTCCAAGACACAACGTCCAGACGAACGACAACGAGAAAGATTTTCGCAAGGTTTATGCCACCCTGAAGGCAGCCACATCGGGCAAAACGAAGAATTCCAACGAGCTCAAGGAAATGAATCCCTTGTTCACAAAAGGGGAAAAACTCATCAAGATATGCCGCGATATCCTCCAACGCCACCAAATCGCTGTCAGAGACTCGCAACAAGACAAGCCAACTGTGCCACGAGAGATCTGGGAGCAGGACCACCAAAAGATGCGACAGTTGCTGGACTACGGGAAGGACTACGGACAGAAGTTGGTGGAGGGGATCATCAGTCCCGATGTAAAAGGTGATGATAGTCCCACCCAGGAGAAGGAGAAGGAAGCCGGCTTGAGTGAAACTGAGACACTTGCTATTGGGCTGTTTGACGGGTCCAAGAAGAAGAGCGGAGAGACAGAGCGCTGGGGGAAGATTGCACATGCTCAGGCAAGGGCTTTGGCAGCCGTTGTTAAGACTGTGCCGTAGAATGATGGCGAGAATGTTTATGGCGGAAGTAAGGATTTATGAAGCATCGTGGACCACAACTTAATGGTATTCTGTTGTTCGTGGAATCATGTCACGGAAGGAGGACATCGACAAGGGGAAATCTATCATGAAAGCGATGTAGAGGGGGTTCTCCGGGTAACTCGCGGCTGTGGTCAACCAAGGTCCGCTGATACTTAGTTGTCGAGACCATGACAGACAAGTGATTGACCACAGTTTTAAATATCTCCAGCCTTTGGCTGATATGGGATTCGTCTAATCTTTTGGTCAAGCACATGGGTATTTGCCGAGCCAAAAGCCCAAAAGTGCAGACTTGGTGGTGTCGTTGATGCCGCCAAGACTTCGAATTCAGTGTGGGGCTTACGTGCACGAGCCACTATAAGCTAGCCCGAAGTGGACTAGTTGCCGGGCGGCACGCAATTAGGGCTTTGCGTCCTCTCCCTCACAACACTCAATTCCTCGAAATTTTTGAACTTTCCGCTGGTGATCTTTCCGTCGACTTCACTAACGCAGGAATCAACCTCGGGGTCTGGTACGTACGCGCCTTTATCATTTTCCGTCCGCTGTCGAATCCGCGTTACTCTCTTTTCGCAAGAGTTGTAATTCTTTCGCTCCTTTCGTTCCCTTTTTTTTTTTCTTGCAGGCAGCGACTAACCGACGACAACTTGGTGTTTGCAGAGTCAAAATGGGTGCCCTCAAATACCTCGAAGAGCTTCAGAAGAAGAAGCAGAGCGACGTCGTTCGCTTCCTTCTTCGCGTTCGCTGCTGGGAGGTTAGTTGAAACAAAGCATACACGGATCGAGAACGGTTGCCGAAAGAATATCTGTGGACGGTCGGCCTTTTTTTTGGCGAGAGAACCTGTTTGATGGGAACAGTGGGAAGCGAGTTCTACGAGAGGATTCATCCGCCCCCGCGAACTCACTCATACACTTGTTTCTGTCAATCTGGGGGACCGCGCCGAAATTTTTCGCGCCACCGTTCTTGCTATACACTCGTTGAACATTTGCTGAGAGTGCATCAATATAGCTTCGCCAGTTGAACGTCATCCACCGGGCCTCGAGACCCAGCCGCCCCGACAAGGCCCGCCGCCTCGGCTACAAGGCCAAGCAGGGCTATGTCATCTACCGCGCCCGTGTCCGTCGCGGTGGCCGCAAGAAGCCCGTCCCTAAGGGTGCCACCTACGGTACGTTTTCTTTAGCGCCGGAGTTTGCGATGGTTTCCAGTTTGCTGATATCCCCCAACAGGCAAGCCCACCAACCAGGGTGTGAACCAGCTCAAGTACCAGCGCTCCCTCAAGTCCACTGCCGAGGAGCGTGTCGGCCGCCGCTGCGCCAACCTCCGCGTCCTCAACTCCTACTGGATCAACCAGGACTCTACCTACAAGTACTTCGAGGTTATCCTTGTCGACCCCCAGCACAAGGCCATCCGCCGCGACCCCCGCATCAACTGGATCGTCAACCCCGTCCACAAGCACCGCGAGTCCCGTGGCCTTACCTCCACCGGCAAGCGCTCGCGCGGTCTCAACAAGGGTCACCGTTACAACAAGACCCGCGCTGGCCGCAGAAAGACCTGGAAGCGCCACAACACCCTCTCCCTCTGGCGTTACCGGTAAACGGCTCGCCCAAGAGGTCCGTAGTCTACGGGATCTGGCGCTGGCTCTGGCTGTTCTGCTCACTGGCACGCTTTTTGGCTGGGTCTTTGGGAAACAAGGGAACTTCTGGTTGTCGTGCTCCTCTTCATGGTCTCGACAGCGACGGTGTCTTGATTGCAAATCATCATTGCTGGGACACAACGGAAAGAAGGGTGAATCCGCATGGAGTTGTGGAAAATCCAGCTAGCTCACCAAAATGGACTAAACGCATTTTCTGGTGTGCATATGATACCTCTGTCCTTTTAATGGCATTCTTATGATCATCTATGTGTGACTTTCATATCTTTGTTCCACGTCCTGCTGCCAATGAATGAAGTGGATCTTACCTTACGGACTGACTTCTTCCTATCGACGTGGCGATGCTTCGGTTCCTATGTTCTATTCAACTTGAAAAGCTCGAGGATGGTCCGCCAAATGTCCGGCTCCTACGCCAGAACGGTCTTCCGGCATCATACGATATGCAAATTCCTTTCGCAAATTGCTTCCCAGATTCTTTCTGCATGGTCTATACTTGTTCTCTTCGGCAGAGAGGAAACACTGGTGGCGAGGCAACGAACGACTACGTGAATCGATACCTTTACCTATATGCTAGAAATCGGTCATGGCTTTTGTTTAAACCACCAATGTCAACATTGCTAGATATCAATCTATATGTATACACGTATCCCTTTTACTGTAGGCCAACCCTCAACTCAATCGAATCAATCCGTCATGCTCTCGTCGTCCAGTCTTCGCCCAAGGAACTGTGTCTTTTCTGCCCCCCCCCCCCCCCTCTGTCACGAAATGATCGATCAAGACGAGGGAGTCGAGGAATGGAGTTGCTGTGTTCTGACACATTTTTTTTCCTGATTACTTGCAGTAGTATGCATTGTATATGTTTCTCCCTTGATCGATTTCCTTATTGTCCTTACTGGTTGTCTCGGGGTCATCCATTATCATAGGTCAGTCAGTCACTTTTCCAGGCAAATTTAGTATCAAACTTTTTTTCTGCTTGGTGCAATGATTCATCATCATCATCAATCTCATTATCATCAGACGTGTGGCTTGCGGTCATGTTTACGATACAGGGATGAAAATTGGAGAAGCACGTCAACAACGAATGAACTATTTTGGTCTCTAACGATGAATCTCTATTTACGAGTTGGTTATATCTCTCTGCCGTCTCTATGAGGCACAGTAAGGCGTGAGTTATGTACTCTGTTTCTGCAAGGCCGATGGATGAAAACATTTGGGATTGTTTAGTTTCAAGTCCAGGATGAGAACGAGGCTTTCGATTCAGATTCCATATATGACCCATGTTAGGAACACGGCGAGGCGATGGTAATGAGAGAAGCCTATCGAAGTCTCTGTGTTGGGTGGAAGTATCCACAACTACATCTGAAGAAAATGGCAACACCACATGAGTCCCTGAAAAGCGCAAAACACAAAATAGGGAAGGAGTTTAGAGATAAAAGCGACAACACGAGGTTGAGGAAGGCAATGGAACGGAACTTTCGATTATTATCCTTGAAAGATCTATGCTACGGCAACCTGTCCTAACGCTATCGTACCTCTCCCCTTTCTTCCTATTCGAGATCGAGCTTGAGAGACGTATTGTACAACAAAGAAGTTAGAAAGCAGAAGGCACCATTGCAGATAATCTTAAAATAATCTTCCATAGTGCCTCCCCTTCCTGCTTAAGGCTCGATAACTCTCTTTCTCATATTTTGATTCGTCGCCTAGTTGCCCGAAACATGTTTCGCTGATAAAAAAGAGAAAAACAACCGCTCCCCAGTACCAGGATCGTCACCGATAATACCAGATCAAATCAGAAAAAAAGGAAAAAAGATCTCTCTTTATCTTAGCAAATTATCTGTTTAATGGAACTCTGTCCCGTTTTTGTCAGGTATTAAGAGACCCGCGAGGTCCGTGTCCGTCCGAGGAAGGAAACTCCCCAAGCCGATGGATAAGTGAAAACCATTCGAAATGTGATCTCATCTCTCATCATATAATGTACACCCTTTTCGTCCGTCTTGCTAGACGCTTTCGTATTACTGCTTAGACCCAGTTCTGGCCATTCTCAGCCGGGGCGCCAGCGGGAGGAAACTGCTGCGATGCAGGAGGCGGAACTGTGATCATATTGCTTGCGGGGAAAACGGTGCCTAGGGGATGCCCATTACCACCGTTGATGCCGTTCGCGCCACTTCCTAGTCCGCCACTAGTGAGAATTGACGTATTATTGGACATGGCACGGTTGTGCTGTGCGGGACGAAGGGAAATCTGGCCGCCTGCCGGATCCGCAGGAGTCGCTTGACCACTAGTGCTCGTACCGCTCTGGGTCTGGTTGTCGTAAGTCTGAATCTTGGCCTGGATGCGTCGGCCGTAAGGTGTCGCGCGGACAGCAGGCAAATGAGGACGAATAGCCTCAACCAGCTGGTGCTTCATGGACGGAGTAGCATAGTCCAGTGCCGTCTGAACAACGTAGTTGCCATATGAGTCCTGCATGAGCTGTTTGATCTCGTTCTGTGACATAATTTCGCTGACGATCCTGTCCTTGGAATTAGGAGAAGCACAACGCAGGCACTTCTCGACCACATTGGAACTGAACTTGTGCTTCGACAGCTGTGGAATCCGACCGAGGAACTGGCCAACGAGGGGCTCGGTAAAGCTCGGCTCGTTCAGATCAATGATGTACTGAACCACGTAGTTGCCAAAGGGGTCCTGGACAAGGGTAACGGCGTTGGCTGTGATACGCTCAATAAGCCAAATCTTCTTGGCCCCATCGGCGTGATCAATGCAACGTTGAAGAACACAGCAGCCATGGCGATGGGTGCCAACTTCAACGCAGTTTTGTCCAACAGCATCGAAGATAAAGCTGGCATCGGTGGCATTGAGCTTGTTCAGACATTTTTGAATGACATGGTTACCGTTGAGATCTTGAATGAGCTCAACAACGCGGTTGCGGAGCGCTTCAATGATGAGGTTGATTTGAGCTGGTGAGCTGACGGAATCGATCATCTTCTGCAGCGCTCGAGTGCCGTGGGCATTCAAAGCGATGCGGACCATATCTGATGTTGCATTTCGAATGAGAACAGTGCGTTCGTCTTCGCTGCAGAGCTCGAGCAGCTTCTGGCAGAGGTAGTTGCCAAAAGGATCCGTCATCAGCTCGATCACATGTTGGTTAGTCTCGAGCCAAATCATGTGGATTTGTTCCTCGTTACGATCATCCAACTTCTTCTGTAGGTAGCGGCAACCATGCTGATCCTTGCATAGCGTGTAAATGGTGCCGACAACCTGCTCCAGAGGCAGGTTGTTGAAACGAGACATGGCTGCCATTGAAAGGTTAGCAATCTGGTGAAATCTGGAGGTTGCGATGTGCTCACCTTCACCGTCCATGGCGCGCCGGCTCTGAATAACACGGGCTTGGCTATCCTGGGGCTGTCTAGGGCTGCTACCGGTGTTGTACAACGCGCCGTATCCCGTATAGTTTTGAGGGGCATACACGGCTGCCGGGTTGTTGTTGCCAACGGACATGTTCTGCATCATCATGGGGAGGTTTCCGTATCCAGCGTTGTTGCCAGGAGGGGCATAGTTGGGGCCCGGCGGGTAGTAGGAATAGGGCATCGCTGGTGCCGTCGAGGTCAAGCCTGTGTTGACTGCAGCAGAGGTCTGCTGCTGAGGAGCGACAGGTCCGAATGGTGCAGCATTGGCGTGCAAAGTCGAAGTGATTGAAGGGTAGCCGCCGTTATCACGGCTGTTCGTCAAACCGGTATCACCAGAAAGCTCACGTGTATGGCGCGCGGCCATGGCACCAGCTGGGATACGGCCAAGGCCGGCGTTGTGGTTATGAAAGTGCTGCTGGGCGTGGTTGTTGTTAGACTGACCGTTCGCAGATTTGAGGACTGGGACGTCGTTGGCGGAAAACGATTGCTGGAGCTTTGGGGGGCTGGCCAAGATGTTGCTGATAGCAGGCGACATAACGGAACTCGGGGTTGCGTCAGCAGAGCCGATTGCGCTCTCCTGGAAGAGCTTCGTACCGTCCAGAGAATGGCGAACGTTTGCGGGCTGAGTGCCGATGGGAGTCAGCTCAGGCGAAGCCACTGAGCCTGTTCCGCTTGCCTGTCCAGAACCGATAGCAGACATGCTATGCTGTGAACGATGCTTGTTAATGCTGTTCCAGCCGCTTGCGCCAACACTATCAAGGCCGAAAGACTGGCCTAAAACAACGTCTAATGCTGAAGAAGCAGACAGCTTTGGGTGGGATATTGAGTCAACACAAAATCACAAAAAAACAAAAGTTTGGGGGGGAGGAGTAGTGGAAGGGGATGAAATATCGGTATAAGGGGGAAGCAAACAAAATAAACAAGACTTCCACTGCATTTATCGTACACGACAATTTGCGGGATGTTTTGCTGACGGTGACGGTGCAAACGAGGGCAAGGAAGATGCGCGAAGTGAAGAGGAAGCAACAAGGTGGTTCAGGAATAGATGTGCTTCGTGCTGTCAGGTGTGGGGGTAGAGGGTGTGGGTGTGGTTTTCGCACCCGCAAGTGCCTTGGGGCACCAAACCAGCATAACACATTCACCGGCATCTGAGCACTTCAAGGAGTGGACTTCTGAAAGCTCAGTTGCCTGCCAGGTGAAATGAATTTGAGCCGGAGCTGAGTGACAGGATCGATCGAAACACCACTTTCCGTCGCGCAACCAGTGGAACGGAAAAGGCCAAACTCACCCTATTGGAATATCCCTGCTGTCTAAACAATGTAGGGAAAGCGTCTGCGTTGCTTACTTGCCCGGTGGGAGTCGCTCTACCCTCTCCCGAGTTATCTTCTTCGTCGTCGAAAAGAAATCCGGCTGTGTTGTTGCTGTCTTCGAGACCGATATCGTACGAGGTACGGGATCGGGTCACAGGCATAGAGTAGCGGTTCGTACTAATAGGCAGATCCCCCGTTAACGTCAAGCTCTGGGTCGTAATTGCAATTGATATTGAGGGCGAGTGCGTTGAGTTATACAGGAGTCAAGTTGTGGTCAAGGAGAGAAGGGCGCAACCGTGTGCTTTTATAGACGAAGGTTCATTGCCAGAATGGAGTAACCTGTCAGACAATAGCAACCTCTATAGATCACTTCCCACTTGGGTGGATAATCGAGTCTGCTATTGATCCCCATTCTCCTATAATTTGCGATTATGGGATGAAAAAGAGTGCCTTGGACACAGCAAAAGAGGAGATTTGGCCAAGAGCTCAGTCAGGCAGAAGATTGGGCCGAAACTTCGATACCCTTTACAGTAGATTTGAGGGGCTTATGATCTCTTCTCCGGCCCCATCACAGAAAAAGCAACGGCTTCACATCAGATAGCAGCAGCAGACTGGGAGCAACGCAAAACCTGTTCGACAGCTTGAAGAAAAGCAAATACTCACGCTTTGGTGGAACGATGGCTGGTGGGATCCTGGCGTACAGCCTCTTCCTTCTCATCTTCGTCACTGTTCCTTCGTGAGCCTGGACCTGAGCGTGTCGGCAGTTGGTCATCGAAGGCTAACCGCATGGGCAGCATCCCCGACGGTGGAGATGTGAGCAAGGAGCGGGTTCCACGGTTGACGAGGCCGGTCGAGTGCCGGTTCGGGCGGGAAAACATGGAGGGAAAGCCTCTTGAGGCATCGCGATATTCGGGGGGTGTGGTCGGCTCGGACTGGTGGCCGGCGAATCTGCCTATCTGCAGATCCTCCGCCATCTGTGCGAGTTCGCGCTCTTCCTGACGCTGCTGAGCGTCTAGTTTAGAGAGCTCGGCTTCGAACCGCCGCTTGCTCTCTCGGATTCGTTCGTATTCCTGTCTCTTCTTTTCTAACTGTTGTCAAGGCAACCGCATGGGCCGCGAGGTTAGCGGGCACCTGGGGCCGTCGTTGCGAACAAGTTGCGACTTACCAGCTGAACCTTGTGGAGAGTCTACCAAGCATGATCAGCATGATCTTCCATACCCAACAAACATGTCACCGTCGCGTCTGCACCAAGAGCAGAGGCGGCCAGGACCGGAAGAACGTACCGCAGCAGGAGTAGCAGCAAACTCGATGGGCTCGGGTGGGCGCTGGGAACCAGGTATAAAGGATGATAGTGTTGGTACATGGCCCGATTCTGCGGTGAATCGGCGCGGTAGGGAGGGACCACTCCTGTTGACAAAGGAGGGCGCCATTTGCGATTCGCCCCGCTGGGGCTGGGGGCGGTAGAACTCGTCCATGATTATCTCGGCTTTACAGTTGCTAATCGATACACTTTTGTTATACAGGGTGATGGATTTGTCGGCGGCTGCTCCCTCTATAATCTAATACCACACACAAGCGTTAGTCGACATATTTTTTCAGCGAATACCAAGACGAGCACTGTGAGAAGAAGCAACACATGAGGACGATAATGTGCCATGTACAGCCACATGTAGAGCAGTTGTAGTGACGAATGGCTGACCCCTCGGCGAGTCGCAATCAAAAATAGTTCCTTCGGCTTCGGCAAGGCTAGTGTGTCGAATTCAAAGCTCCTCAGGATGCTGACAGCTGGTGCGATGGCCATCCAAGCCGTGGGCAGGCATAGGACCGCGCGCTTGTAGTCGGCCGTGTCCTGAAGACTGGAGCAGCCTGAGTACCTCTATGGCGCCCATTATGAGACTGACTGGGCATTGCGATGGGCCAGCGCTGGGTGAGGACGAGGCCGTGGCTCTCGTGGGCTCCAGCGTCCGAGGTCGAGAGGGGATGGAAGGCGTATGAGTGGCCCGGACCTGAGGTATGTGATGGACGGGATGCGATTGAAGGAACGACGTCAAGGTTAGCTACCTACCTAGTCGTAGAGGTACCAAGCGAAACAATATGTCTCGTCGGCGCACGTATACTCTATACGCTGCGCCCCGGGAAGGCCTGGAGCAGCAGGTTTGGGAGTGGTAGTAATACAGCAAAAAGAGCGAAGAGAGATGGGATGGAGGACGAGTAAGCCTGACGGGTTGGGAGGTCGAAGTAGAGGGAGTGTATGGCGGAAGACTGACGGTCACGGTCGGTTGGTGGCACCGAACGGATGGGGATGCGCGAGAGGATGGGATGCCACCCGCTTCCTCTCTCGCGGGCACTGGACCTCAACCCCCCCAGCCCAGCCTGCCGCTGCCGCTGGAGGTGCCGCTGTGGTCCATGTCACTTCTCTTCTGTGGATGCCCTCAGGACTGTCAACTCACCTCTACGTACTAGGTAGGTAGCTAAGTACCTCTACGCGAGGACATGCTGCATGCTGGGTTCGAGAACCCCTGACAGCCAGAGACTAGTGCTTCGATTCCGCAGTGGATGGACGACAGAAGCCCAATCATTGGATCTGCTGGCCAAGGGCGATCGCGCTAAGAGGTCCCCGCTTTGCACCCTTCGGACAGGTACCGGTACTTGCGAAGTGGAAGCTCTCCTCATCGACGCTGTCCTCTTCTTCCTCTTTTCCCTTTCCCCTTCCACTTCTTTGGAAGTTGACAGCCAGAGTTGCGAATGATTACAAATGCGGCTTGTTGGCGTGACATACATTAGCCAACCTGGAGTGCCTCTCTCTACAACGAGACAGCCTCCAGTTGCTACCAGATCCCTTGAACATGGCCTGTAAACGGACATGTGCTTTACAGGAACAACAGCAGGCGAAGGCGATGAGGGATCCAAGCATACGGTACCTACCCCGACTCTACCCAGGGGGGTATTTGTAGGATGGAGATAAAGCCTCTTCCTGCCTTTGCCCTGCTTCAGTTCCCAGATATATCTATCGCCTTACGAGGAACCCCCAGGATTTACAATGGAACATCAGAGACGGCAAAGTGGACGTCCTGAGGAATTAGCGGTGTATAGGCGTCGCCGGGCGTTATACGGCCTGCAGTGAGGCAATCCACGAGGTGGCTGCCCCAGATTCTCTTACCCGCGCCCTTGCGTCCAGTCTGCAGCTGCCCCTGCGCTATGTTAGGCCTTGTCTGGAACCGGATAGGGAATGATTGGCTGGCGACAGAACCGAGAGGGATTGCGTGTTGCAGCACTCCCCTCTGGCTGACAAGCGAGACAAGCTCGAGACAAGGCATGGGAAAGGTAGCCATAGTGACAAAAGGCATAAGACAGTGAGTGACAGGCCGGCAGCCGTCAGTGTTCAAGGCTGGACACTCTAACCCTCGCTTCTGCCCTGTGGAAGATTCAGTATAAGAGAGGAGATGGATCTACTTTCTGATCACCCAAATGTACGACAGCCAGGTGATAGCTAGACTTGGGTGCTCATTGAGATCATGGTTGAGAAAGCGAACGCACAAGTGCCGCGCCCAAGTGTTTGACCTTGATGTGAAATCTCCTCGCCTTTTTCAATTGCTCCTCTTTCGGATTTTCCCCACTGCTGGGTTGGGTTCCAGGTCGATTCAAGCAAGGTAGCACCCTGCTAGAGCTGGCTTGAGAAAAGATGGGTACCTACCTACCTACACTATGCTAAGAGACACGGCCAACGGTGATGCGACTCTTTGACGTTTGTATAGTCAGCCAGAAGCATAACCCTTCTCTGATTCTTGAAGCCTGAGCAGGTGGTGACGGGCACAGCACTTGGGAATAACATCAACCTCCGTTGTATGCGATTAGCAATTCAAAGGCTGCCATAACCAACAAACAAAGACCGAAGAAGACCATCAACATGATAACAGGTAGGAGAGAGATCGTGAACGACCCGGCAGGTGATTTCATGACCAGAAGCTCTCCCCTGTTGACTGGTGTGTCGATCAAAGGCCCGGCTTCCGCTTGGCGCGGGTAGATTCAGCAGAACGGATACATATCTTGAGGTTACCTGGCTGGCCTGACCCCGCTACAAATTGTTCAAATCGTTGTGCTAGTTGAGGTTGGATAGGTAAATACAACCTACCACCAGGAGGCAGATGTGTCGGAGTTGCACAGAGGCGGGGGTTCCTTATCACGAACATCAAAGTGACGGTCCGGAGTCAAAGCAAAAGGAAAGGTTTCAAAGGTGACAGGGCACGGCCAAAAGTGGAACAGGAACCTACCTACCTACCTACCTACCTACCCTATGTATGTAACTGTCAATCAGGGGTCCAAAACGTGGGCGCTAACAATTTTGGCCTCGGCATACCAGTTACCAGTTACCACTGCAGTCACCGGTCACCACAACACTGCCTGCACTAGTGTAGTGTACACTACACTACACTAACAGTTAAGCACAGACCACTCCCGCCCCGTCGTCCCCCACCGCCCCA